AGCGAGAATTACGTGCCTCTCATGTTCTAGCTGACCCCGAGTGCCTCCCTCTTCTGCACCGAGGACACTAAACACTATGGTGGTTGTGACAAAGCAGGGGGAAATTATGAGCTTATGATGGTATTGTTCACACCTTTATGTGACTGCCAGCGCCGACGAGAGGCAGACGGGTCATGAAGGGAACACTTTTAGTCAGGTTTATGTTCAGGTCTCATATGGTGCCCATGCTGGTGGAAGCGAGAACGCTCTGAATACCAGACATGAGCACCTTTACTGTCGATGTATCACAGCAAGATGTGGAAATGTTAGGTTTATCACCTGAAACGCGAGAGTAGTGTGCAGATCTGGAACATCAACTGTCACATTAACATTACTCCAAAAAAAAAAAAAAACGTCAAAAATGTTGAATATTTGCGTTGCAAGTCATGCAACTTAAGGAGGAATAGGAAAACTGAGGAGCCCTTGGAAGGGCCGACATCTCGTCCAGGAAGATAGGAAGTAATAGACGGGAAATCTAGAGGGATGGTGGGAGGGGGGTCGTATGGGAAGTGCAGTGTAAACAGTCTCAGCTTTTAATCATCCCAGCTCACGTTCGGAACTGGACGTACTTTGATGTTTTCCCTCAGAGTCCCCTCCGCCCTCCCATCCCTCGTTCCCAAACGGCTGCGCTAAAAGGGCCAGGGGAGAAGGGGTCCGTGCAGATAGCAGCTTCGGACACTCAAAGAGAGCGGGTGGGGCGCTCAGTCAGAGAGAGGGAGTGGGAGGCGAGGAGGAGGCACGAAGACAGGGAACGGTGGAATGTGAAGTGGTGCAGAGTTAACTGCTGGCCAGCCTTAATTGCATCTGATGTATCCTGAGGGAGCTCTCACAGGTCAATACAACAGTTCAAAGAACAAAGAACCAAAAATGTGATGCTGAAAAGGAAGAAAAGAAAGTCAAGATGGCTTTCAGTGGGAATAGGTGGAGCTTTAATGATGTCCTGTAATTGGACTCTGTGGCTGTTAAAGAGGATAAACTCCATCTCCTTCTCTGAGAAAAGTCCAGCATTATCTCACGGGCTTTGGGACATCTCCTCTGATCGCTAAACTTCACTTTGGAACTTCACTTTGGAAGGGAGACAGAGAGAAAATTCCTCAGCACTTGTGTTTGTCCAAATAGCGCTGGCCAGACCCCAGCCAGTGTTCCAATGAGCGTGTTCATTCAGCGGATGGGGCACGCTTCCAGGGACATCACAGTTTAACAGATCAGAGGGAGATACCTACTAAAGCAAAGACACTCCATCTATCTAACCCATGCAAGCTTGTCCCTTTCATCAACACGACCATTAGAAAAGGAAAGGATATAATTTTACCCCTAGAAGGTTACTAATGCTTAAGATAACTCGTGATTTGCTGGTGAGCAGTGGTTTTGCCTTGATGTGATGAAAAACACAACACACCCATTTCTCTATCTCTGATCTTCCTCTTCCTAAACTGACATATTAGGATTTGCTTTTAACACTGTGAAGCCATTCTGAAAATACCCCATGATCATGGAAAAGGGTGATTTTAAAAAATCAAAAACAACAACAACTCAGTTGATGTTGTTTGACCTGATCCCTAAGGTGAGCCTGTAGAGGACACAGAGAAACAGATGTTGTGTTTCCCCCACCTTTGTGGACCACTATAAACTCTCTACAGGCTCTAGTCAGCTGTGATTCTGCTTATTTTTCCCAAGCATGTCCTGCCGTCTCCATTGCACTTTGGTACTGTTCCAGCTTCCTTCTCATCCTCAGCTTCTGATCCCACCTGATCTCTAGGTTACAAGGACCATGACAGGGGCAAAGCAAAAAATAAATAAATAAATAACAGAGCATACATTGGTGAATGAAATTATGAGAGTGTTGCTGCAGAATAAGTAGGGATGGGTACCGAATTCGGTACTTTTTAAGGTACCGACCGAATTCCATAGTACCGACCGAGCATCGATTCACGTCATTTCAAACGGTGCTTCGTTTCGGTACCCGTCCATCATAATGAGAACTTGCCAAGACAGCTGCACATGCGCAAGAGCGTTATGTCGTCGGTCGCTGCGAGCCAGTTGTAAACAGAGCAGCATGGTAGAAAGAACGCACGCTAAAGCTTGGGTCCACTTCACTAAATGTGATGGGTAACTGGGTGATGATGAAACCAGCGACAACGATCTAAGTGAGACATCCTCATCTTAGCGCTGGTAGGTAAATATAATTAGCTTGATATGTTAGCTTCCGTTTCGCTAATGGTGCATTCGCTTTCTCCTCAGAACTCCGAATTCCTGACTAGAAGAACATGAACGCGCTGTAAAGTTTGGCTTCACTTTACTAAATGTGACGGGTGAAGACGAAACCAGTGACAACGATCTAAGTGTGAGGCATCATCGTTTTAATCTGCTCCAGCAGCTAAATAAACTGTTTAAGATAACGTTAGCTTGATATGTTAGCTTCTATTGCTACAATTGTTATCATCTAATGGTGCGTTCGCTTTCTCCTCGGAAATTCTAACTTCCCAGTAGGAAAAATCAATTGAAAAAGGACAGCAAAAGGAATGAAGATACGCAGTAAATTTAGTTCACAGTAAAGATGTTTGCTTCAGTTTAATTATCAACTTATAAAACTACAAGGACGATGTTAAAATACAAACAGTTGAATGTTATTTATCGTGATATATATCAAATATGGTTATAAATTGAGAAAAATATATATTTAATTATAAAAGAGAATTAAAATAATAAACACCCCAAATTATCGAAAATTGGTACCGTTAAGTACCGATATCGATTCCTAGGTACCGGGAATTAGTACTGGATCGATTCAAATGTCAAGAATAAGAAATGCATCTGCAGGAATGTAGCACTGGGCGATAGGATGAATTATTCGAGCATCGACGATGGGTTGAGCCGTTACGGTTGTTTATACAAGAGGCAATTTGTTTGTTTATTTGTATGTTTACCCGTGAGTACGTTTGTTAACGACAGATATTTGACATGTTACACACAGAAAACATCGCGGCGGTAACGAACAAGAAAAAAATCTCCACCATCTCACTTTCTCCACATCTCGCTGCTGACAGTGCGCAAGAGAAACTCTGAGAGCGTCCGTGACACGCTCAACATTGTGCACAAGAGCGCAGTGTCGAGAGGTAAGTGGAAACCCTTCTATCTTTCAGAGAATCTGGAAGACTTCTGGTTATTTCATTTGAAAAAAATGTTTCCTGATTTAAAAACTTTGGCTTGAGTAGCGCTCGTTATTCAGCACCTGCTTCGAGTGTGTCAGCGGAGCGCAGATTCATCAAGAGCAACATTTAAACAGCCATCTGTGTGAGGCTAAACCTCATAACGTCTTCAACAAGCTCCCTGGGACGTTCGATTGTGCACAAGCTGCAGGTGACCAGTTCAGGTTTAGGCAAAGCAGAAGGAACGTGTGTTTGGGCCACAGCAGGTGAAATGTTCCTAATGCAAGTGAAATTGTTTAATTGCATTGTTTATGTGTTGCTGGGACACTTGCTTGGACTAAATATCAATTTAAAATGAATAGAAATGTAATTGCATCTCTAACAGTCTACATAAGTCACTCTCCGCTAGCATGCCCATGTTACTTGTTGTTCTCATTCCAGCAGCTCTCTTTTCTCTGGCCTACCACACATAAACTTTGAATGGTGCACATTTCGGCTGTTTGCATCATTACCAGAACGCCATGAATTGAAAGCATCCCTCTGGTTCCAAAGCAGATCGATAGATTGGCTTCCTGTCCGGGATCACATTAAATTTAAGATTCACCTTCTCACTTTAACTCATTCGTATCTTTTCTGTCTGCTGACCTATCCACAATGGGTTTGAAACCCGTCAGTCCAACTGGTGACAGCCTCTGGAATCCTCTTCCACCATCCATCCAAACCAAAGCACCACATCCCACATCTCAAACCTGACTCAAGACAAATTTACTAAGTTACAACAAAGTCGTGAATCCCAAGGAACTAAAAGTTCCTTTTGATTTCGGCAGCAGAGCTGTGATACGCAGCATGTTTTCAACATCTCACACAGACACTAAAGTCAAAGCAGCTTTAACAGCAGAGGAAACTGCCGCAGCTTTTCACCACTCCATGACGAAGTCTTATCAATTACTGCAAAGTGAAGGATTACTATTCACAAACTCCCCCACATCTGGTGAGTGAGGAGAGACAAGATCTTACAGTACCTCACATCTGTCGTTCTGTTCCTTAGGAGACAGTAAATAAATTGACACAGGTGAGCTTTATGGCCCTGGAACCTTAATCCACTCCTGAATCCTAAATATGCATGCTGAATAGACCACATACCTTACATTTACCGAGCTAACGCCATGTTTTTATCTAAGTGGGGGAAGGAAAAAAGTTTAGGGCTTACATGAGTTTCAACATGATTCGATATTCTTTCACAGGCTTTAGCCACACCTTGATATTAACTAACTGCAGGAGAGCTAGATTCCCAAAACAACTCGATAAAGACACTTTAAGAAGTTTTATCTAAAACCATGATCTCGGGCATTAAAAAAAACCTAATGCCAGTGACCTTGTTGGGTTTTTAGAGATTGTGTCATGATGCTGAGGGAAAGTTACTGTGCGCATCTCAATAATCATGCAGCTCAGTAATTTGAAGCTGCACAACCACAGTTACAGGTGTTAGCATCATAATCAGACTGGTGGTGACATGCACACCGGTAGAGACAGGAATGGGGTCAAAAGGTCACTTTGTGGTGGAGTGATGCTGGTGGTCTAATAACTGCATCTTGCATCTGAGTGAGTCATAAATCTGTAAATATTTAGTTTATGAGTCAATCCTCATATGGATGAGTAAACGGTGTGATAAAACTTGTGTTTACTAATTTACACCATTTTCTTCGTGTTTGAGCGTTTTTCTCTAGAAAGTGGGCTGATGAGAAGCAGATCGGATGGCTCTCTGGGGTTGAAGAGGGAGAAGGGAAGCCCTGGTGAGCTCTGTGTCTTTACCTGCATCAGCTTCCCCTCCGCTTTGCCGGCACTTCCTCCTACGAAATCCCCCTCCAAAATGATTGGCTCCCCAGTCGTCTCGTAATGGACCAGCGTCACCTTGATGCCCGCTCGGAGCGCCGACCGCTCGGACTCCGGGCCCTGCTGGCCCAGCACCACCTGCAGGGCCGCCATGACCAGCCACGGCCAGAGCCCGGCCAGACGCCGCGGAGGGGCGGTCATGGCCTCGGCTGGAGCGGCGGTGCCCAGCCGCACATGGTGGACTTCAAAGCACTAACGTTCAGTACACAGGTCTTTTTTTTTTTTTCAATAATGTTATTTGCACCTTTTCCTGTCCCAAAATGCTCAATAGAAATAATCAAAACGATCAAAGCTGGATGAATTCCACCAGAACTTCCATTCAGAGTTAATATTTAAACTCTGCAGCTTGCAGACGTGAGGAAAACAGATCAAAACACTTAAATCCAGAGGCGGTTTTTCTGAAGACTCCTCTCATTCAGTTTCTGGTAGATTAGCTGATGAATCCCCGTCCAAAGAGCCTGGTCCTGGCCATACTGTATCCGTAAATCACTGTACCTTCTCCCGATCACATTTTGAGGCACCAAACGCCACTTGGGCCGCGAGCCCGTCCACCGTGCGCCACATTTTCTGGATAAATCCACCAAAAACTGTTCAGAGACGCGACTTGAACTTCAAAGGCTGAGCTACAGGTTGCCGCCAGGGAGCTGGAAGTCATGCTGGCAGATAAATGAGGAGCAGAAAAGTTGTGCAATGTGTTTTACAGCCGAGGAACTTGGAAGAGGGGGGGAAAAATCCTCGAAGAAATTCAGTTTTGTACTCCCTTCAATCTAATTATTAACCAGAACATGCGGACAGTTGTCTTTATAACGCTGTAACTAAACCGAGTCTGAAACCAGAGGGGCTTCTATAAAACAGCCAGTAATTTGGGTTCAATATTCGGCTTTCAAGCTAAACTAAACGGCTGTGAGGAACCCAGACGGACCGGGGAGTCTCCGCTGCACGGTGAGAAATTAGAGACGACCCTCCTGGGAACACCGACCGAGGAGAACTCATCAACATCATAAACATGTGAGCAGAAAACTAAATAACGACAGTAAACGCGAAGCATAACAGTAGTCCGGTGTCCACGTAGTCCGCATTTAACGTGAGACACAAGAGCGCAAACGTGACACCGTCCCAAAAGTTTATCTCCCGGACTCTGTCGCTCCCCAGGGAGCTCATTGTCACTCTACCTGCTCGCTGTCCCGGTGCGTTCACGTACAGTCGGACACCACGGCTCTCTCAAGCCTAATTAAAAACACCTACGATTCAATATTAAAAAATAAATCATCAAATGGCAAACTAACTTAAATTGTGTGGGTATGTTATGATGGATCAATTATTTAGTTTTTACTGTAACTTTACTCAGACAGGTGAAAACAACAATTTGCTGTGACTGTTAACTAAAGTGTACGTTAAAGAAAAAACGTCACGGAACATATTTCTTACTATTCTGTTAACCCGATAAACTTAGCTAATTGTAAATTTAAGTATAAACAAAATTAATGTCTTTCTCGGTGATTCTGTGCGCGGTTTTTAAATGGCCTTGAACGCAACATGTGGGCGGAGCAACAGAATGGCAACAAAAGTTTCATAGAACACAGGTAAGTGGCTCTCCCTAGCGCCCAGACTGCACACTGGACTGCAGAATCACAGCAATAGCAAATAACATAACCACTTCAATTTATTATAATTAAAATTCCATTTTTTTACAAGCAGCAATTAAAAATCAGTTACATATTTAAAAAAATCATTCACAAGACTAAATACGCAATAAAAGATGTCTGAACTGCCACAGTAATATTTTTACTAAAAATTTAAAATGTCACATTTTCTCCTTTGTTAACAACTGCTGCAAAAAAATTATTTCTTTTCTAATTTTCATAAAACTGTCAAAAATATCCACATTAATATCACATTTTTTGTTTCATTGTAAATTACACATTTCTAAAAACATTGCAAGCTCATGTGAACGAAGATGAACAAGTAAAATATGTTATATGCATTTAAAAGTGGCTCAGTTCATTCAGTATCATATATAAAAAAGCAGATTACTGTCATTCAAATTTTAAAAATTTTCATTAAAAGTAAGGCCTGCCATAACTGTCTGACAGCACAGGTAAATGAAACGACTCTGCTACAAACAAAACAGATTTATAATAAAGCAGTGAACCTTCACTAAACAAATAATCAAAATGAAGACTGAAGTCCTCTGATAGGTGAGTTGACAGAAGGGAGAGAATAATAACTTCCTGTCAAAGAGATTCAAATGAATGAGCTGAGATCTAAATGAGAGACGTAAACACCAAACAAATATTCGAACTCCCCACCCCCCCAAATGTGCTCCTTTAATTAACGTTTCTTACCTAAAGGCTGTCATTTCCTGCTGTTTTACTCTGGAGTGAAATCTCCAGAAGTTTCAGGAAGGTCAACACAAATGATCTCTGCATCCTTCAAACCCCACCCACACATGGAGGAAGATCACAAATGAACAACGTGGGTGAACATTTCAATTTCTCAAATCGTCTGCAGGTTAACTGCAAACAGGAGGAGTGGGGCGTAGATGGTTACCTCAACTAAGTGATCTCCAAGCATCAGTTCAGGCACTGAAGTGACCAACTTATTCTGCAGAGGAAGAATGTTGGGTGCAGGTGCATTTGCTGTAGCAGAGCTGGAATTGTTTTCCCGTGGCACGTCAGAGACCGAAACCTCAGCAGTGGACTCAACTTTAACTGCAACAGTGCTGGGCGAAGTCGGCATGAACTCATCAGCTCTCTGGAAAATTGCCTCGAAGTTAAAAGTTTTTTTCACATCCTGGTTTTTGTTATGCTGGGAATCCTGGCCAAAGTCAAGGATGTTCACTTGATATCCAACCTAAAATAGTGACATTTAGAATTAAAGGCCAAGCATTTTAACATTAGTGGAGTGAAAACGCTCTAATTGTCCTACCCGATAGTTACTTTGTGGAGACAACAGCGTCGGCAGTTCAGGTCCATTTGGTGAAACCATATGTGAATGGTGGCTATGGCAAACTAAAAAAAAGTACAACAGTATTTTTATTTAACGTGTAGACACGTTGTCTAATTATTTACAAAAAAGTTTGGGGTGGCCCCGCTTAAATTAATTACAAAAAATATATTAACATGAACACTTTCTATCCCTGTGCTTTGGTCTTGTTGTGTCTAACATTAGCAGCATTTTGAATATTTGCCCTCTAACAGATTTCCTTTGTTTCAGATCGGCAAACAAATGTAATATCAGACAAAGATTACTTGAGCAAATCCAAAACGCAGACTGCATAGGATGATTTTGCTCACTGAGGGGGAAAAGCTGTCCAAAAAAAATCCTAAATGTCATAACTGGGTTAGATGTTGTAGCTATTGTGTTCTTTTATTCTGGAATTCCTTCGGAACAGAGCATGACATTGCTTTTTGAGTTAACCTATGTTTTATTGGTTCGATTTGTTAATCCTACAGACCTGGCAGTAACACAGCTTTCCAAATAAAGTGGTTATCGGCTAATTTGTGATGTAACATGAAGGCCCGGCCGGGAGTTACTTTTTCATACTTACCCGAAGGATTGCAGCCAGGCCGATAGTGGGCATGCCAAGGAGCGCCCCTAAAGAAATGTGGGTTTCCATTTTTTATCTGAGTTGGTAAAATCGGGTGACTGTGCATGGGGCACAAAGGGCTCTGAGACAGTGGTATGGGCTGGGATGGAACAAACGCCCAGGAACTGGCTCCAATGTCCCCCCTCATCAGGTACCGAGGTGGGACAGGGGTTCCTCTCTGAGCATTCGTGGCCTGGTTTTTACTGGGAAGAGGTGAAGGAGTTGACGAAATCTCTGCAACAACAGGACAGCGTCAGGGATCTGTGTGTGCTGACTTACAGCTGATAGGAAAACATTAAAAACTCACTTCTTTTGAGAAATCCCCCCATGCCTTCTCTGCCTAATCGAACATTCACCTCCAGACCGGCTTCAAGCCTGGCTTTATTGCTGACTGTGAGCCTCTTGAGATTCACCAAAAGTTCGGGGTGGCCCCGCTTAAAGTTCGGGTTGTCATAAAAATGAGTGGACGTGGAGTCGTTTGTGACTGTCGGCATGTCCTTTTTCTTAAACCCGTACAGGTTGAGCTGCCGGACGATGCTTGTGAAGTTGACGGTCTTGAAGGTGTTGTGAGGGGACAGGATCTGGCTCTCGAAGAGCGACTGGTCGATCACAAGCCCCTCGCCGGATGAGCTCCAGGAAACGGCTCCGTTTGTCGGATCGTTCGCCATCACCCAGAGCTTGGCTGGGAAATTATTGTGGTTGATTGTGTCTGGAAGGGACTTTTCTTCATGTTCCATGTTTGTAAAGCTGGAAACCTCAAAAAACAAACAAACAAAATCTATGATAATAAAATATATATTAAAAAACGGTAACGTAGTTTAGCGTTTTTTCTTACAGATTAGCTTTTTATGCTAACAGCTAAAACATTTGGACTATTTTACAAAACCTGCATTTATTAACAACAACAAAGTCACATTTTTTCATTCAGTATTAAAAGTGTTCAGATATTATCAAAAATCGTTTCAAGAAAAGTTAATAACATAATTTAAGTGACCTTTTTGCTGCTAGCTTATCGTTATTAGCTCACCACTAGGAGGCGTTTCTGTATTCAGCAACGTGACGTTGTTGAAGCTGCGAAACTGTAAAAATCCAGATGTATTTAATGAGAATCTACATGAAACGGCGCCGTTGGGTTCTGATTCTGGATCCAACTGCCAGAATCACATAAACTAAAGATGTCAGTTTATTCTTCTATAGGAATCTTTAAAATTATAGTTCAGATGTTTTGAAAAAATCAAAATCATACCTGTTCTTCTAACGAACTCAGTTTGGAGAAACCGAGATTATTTCTGATTTAACATCTTAACAAAAAGGCTCAAATAAAAACTATTAAATATGTTTAATAAATTTTGTTTGCATGCTTCTCGTTTTTCATACTCTGTCAAAATGATATAATTTCAGTCAAAATTACTACTAGCTCTGTAGATGATCGTTGGCAAATAGTTGAAGTTAAACAACTGTGTACACAAGGTGTGAATATCAGAACTGTTACTTAGCAGAAATAATTTAAAACCCCAGCTGGTTATGATTAGTATGTTCCTCCAAACTGAGCTTCAAAACGCTTTCTACAACAGGTGACTTATTTGTTTTTTAAATAAACCTTTATTAACAAAAATAGAATATACAATGTGACAATGAGGTTACAAGCTCACAGTTGACAACGTATAAGAAAATTGAAATGTGAACAAAATGAAAACAAAGTGCCAGGGGCAGGGGGATATAAAAAACGGTGGATGTACAGAAAAATACCGATTAAAGTAGCATATATCTAGAGAGAACATCAACACAGAAATAGTATTAAATCAGCTTCAGGTTACCTTAAAGCCGGTACATATTTGAGCAGTCTTTACAGCCTTCTGGTTTTGTGAGAACCGGATAGTCCATATATTGCTCCACCAAGAAACAGTTAAAGTTGGGTTAGCTTTTAAGAAATTTATGTTTATGGATATGAAATTTGGCCAAAAAAATTACAGATTAATACAAAAATTAATAGAGTTCTGGTGAAGGCCAAACAAAACCTGCTTCCAATAAAGGTTAAAATTGACAGAGAATTTACAGCAGATGAAGTCACAGAAAGACTGCCAAAACCATTTGGAATGAGGGCACTGCCAAAAAAAGATGAGTTGTTGTTTCTGGAAGATCTTCACAAAATGTACAAGATACATCCAGGTCTGATTTAAAAAAAATTAAATGACATTTAGAGGGGTAGAATCTATGTAATAGTTCAAAGGAAGTTTCTTTAACGTTGTTAGTGATCAAAAATTTATCGGGTAGAAGTCAAACCTTCCTCCATGTCAAGTCATCCACAAATCTATTCCAGTATGATGCGGCACATGGAAGAGATATCATGTCTTTAAGAAAGAGAGTTCTAATTGCTTTATTTTTATTATTAGGAGAGCAATTAAAACATACTTCACCGACTGGGGACAGAACTGGAGAAAAAAACAGGAGAAAACTAACTATAAAGTAATCTAGGTCTCTGGTGGAATAACATACACACTCCTGGAGAAATGGCTCCAAAAATCTTTGCGTATTCGCCCAGCATAATCGGAATATTATACCAGATGGAGAGCGCCAGAGCAGTTCTGAATTTCTGAAATAATTTATGACAACTGCTACCAATGTGGATTGTGGAATAAAAAGAGATAAACCGTTAGTTTTCTCTATATTGTCATTGCAATCGGGGCACATAACGCCATCTGTCGGCTTGAAATGGGTATTGCAGCAAACTCCTTAATCTTTTTGAAAAGTATGATTTGAAAACAGAGCCCTAGCTCTTTGTCTCTTATATATATATATATATATATATATATATATATATATATATATATATATATATATATATATATATATATATATATACATATGTTTGTTTATATATATATATATATATAAACAAACATATACATGTATATATATGTTTGTTTATATATATACATACATACATGTATATATACATACATACATGTATATATATATATATATATATATATATATATATATATATATATACATACATACATGTATATATATATATATATATATATATATATATATATATATATATATATATATATATATATATATATATATATATATATATATATATATATATATATATATATATATATATATGTTTGTTTGTTCGTTTCTTTCACAAATATTCTTTGCTTTCCATGCAAAGTGTCTTTTGTCATTCTTCGCACCTGATCCTTGGGAATGCCAAACAAAGGAATTTATGCCACGTTGTTTGTAAATGAAAAAGTTAAAATAGAAAAGTAAATAAATAAAAAATAATAAAAGTGCCACTGCCGCTGCCACAAATTGCGCTTGGTCCAATTGGAAATTAGGGAATTGTTGAGCCGGGTTAGGACATATTTGTTTGTCCTTTTTCCAGAAAGTCATTTAAAAGCATCACAAAAAATAAAAAATAAATAAAGTTTCAGAAAAAAAAGTAAGAATTCTTTATTTGCATTAGGATTATATTAAAACAGGTCTTATACTAGTATTTTTTATACTTAGTCGAACATTCAGCTCGTTAAAATTAATTTTAAATTCTGTGAAAACGTTCACGCTACAAATCAGAAATATAATTTCTATTCAGGCGCAAAATGAGAACGCCTCTGTTCGGGTCCTCTATTCTTATTGGTACGTAATATCCCTGCGACGAGTATTAAATCACCAACGGTGGGCCTTAGCTGTGTTTAGCCTATTTTCTTCTTCTAAAATCATATATAATGGCACTGGAGACAGTACCAAAAGATCTGCGCCATTTGCGAGCGTGTCATCTTTGTTCGCTTGTAAAGGTAAACCTGCGATTAAAAACAACAAACACTAGCATCTTAGAGCTAAGATGCTAGTGGCTAACATTTTTTTTACCATAGTATATAGTTTTGTGTCTTAAAACTGTTATAAATTCATTTTCCATATTTTCTTCTTTTACATTCAGACCATCGACCAATTTGAATATGACGGTTGTGACAACTGTGAGTCGTTTCTTCAGATGAAGGGTAACAGAGAGATGGTGTATGAGTGCACAAGCTCGTCGTTTGATGGGTAAACATAATCAAAGCACACACGACCCTTCCGTTAACTGGATTTGTATTCAAATTGTTGATTTTTGTGCCCGTTTATCCACAGCGTCATCGCCATGATGAGTCCTGAAGACAGCTGGGTAGCTAAATGGCAAAGAATCGGTAATCATACAGAAAACAAATGTTACATTTTGAGATATTTAAAGACTGAAAACGTAGATTTCCATCCAGTTAGGGACAAAGAAGCAGCCACGCATCTGTCAAAGGAAATTGTAGAATCTTCCTTCAGTCATGTTTACGTTCCTCAAATGAGGCATTCTCCATTCTGTAGAGGTCTTTAAAAATCATCTAAAAACTCACCTTTTCATCCAGGCGTTCCCTCCCTAAATGTTTCAGAATGATGTCTTTGTTCGGGTTCACACCTTCACTTTGTTTATACTCATGATTTTATTTTCTACGTTTATCACTGCTATTGTTTTTCTGATGTTTTTATTGGTTAGAGGTATTTGCCCTGATCTTTATCATGTTGTAAAGCGCTTTGTGATTTATATCTGTGAAAGGTGCTATATAAATAAACTTTTACTTACTTACTTACTTTACTTACTCCAAACCCTGATCTATTCTGCCATTACTCTGCCTGAATAAGACTAAGGATTTCACTTTTCTCCGGTTAAGAACAAAGGCTACAAATTTAGAAAAACTGTCATCCACAAATAATATTTCAATAATTTTTGAAGACTAAAATGTTCCTTTTAAGGACACTTGTGTGCATTTGTGTTTGGCTTCATTCTACAGGCAACTTCAAGCCAGGTGTTTATGCAGTGTCGGTGACGGGAAGATTACCTCCAGGTATGTTAAAACAATTAGCAAAGCTAACTCTGATTGTACATGTGTATGTTACCTCTCATTCACCCTGCTGCTTTTCCCTTTTGTCCAAAGGTGTGGTGAGAGAGCTGAAAAGCAGAGGAGTGATTTACAAATCCAGAGACACAGCAGTGAAGACATAATCCTGTTTCCTGTTCACGTTAGCTTCCACTAGAGCTGAAGCATTCTGCCACATGTTTTCGTGGATCTTTCATTTTGGTGCATATATAATTTTTTATTTTATTATTTTTTGTTATGAAAATTATCACGTCACAAAATGAGGGGAAATGGAAGTTTTGGATTAAGAATTAATAAATGTCAGTTTTATAAGAAGTGTGATTTCATTGTTAAAGTAAATGGTAGAATCTGGATTTTGATTGTTTTGAAACATTTAATTCAAAGTCAGGGGGTTACATATGTACACCAGCTTTCTTGATTAAAAACTCTTTAGCATTGAAAAACATAATATACAGCAAATTAAGTTCACTATATATTTATTCTGTATTCTGTCATTTATTGCAGCTTTTAATAGAACTGAAATGTGACAAGTTGCCTAGTGAGCAATGGTGTGAATGTCAGCTTTTACAGCATGTTTCTCAGTTAAATTCCTTTTTGTGAAAATGGAAGAAAAAAAAAGATCAGCAATCTGTTAAAAGTTCTAGCTTAGCATCCTTTTGTCTTCAAAAGTCAGGTAGTGATGACCACCTAGGATTCAGCTCACAAAGCTGTAGAGGTTTATTCAGTGTTTGAGAATAAAAAAGCTACTAAAAATTGATTCTGAACAGTTGCTCATTAGGCAAGATGTGAGCATCCTGTAGTCGCACATCAAAGCCTTTTATCTATGAATGATCCTACAGCAACATGCCTGTTTTTCCATCTCAGCCACAAGATGGCACTTTTTACAGAGTTTCCAAATCACCTTCAAATACCTTTTTTTTTTATCACCTGTAAATTCTACTCTGCAGGCTCCTCGGTTTCAGAAGCTGTTGTGGTTCCTGTTTCATGCTAGAAAAGCTTGAAAAGATGAACATCTCATGTTTACTAGATGTCATCCTCATCTCAGGTGTGACAACTATAACAATGGCCTGCAGGCTCAGGCTTGGTCTAATTTTTGATTTCCTTAAGTATCAGGGCCACAACCACAGTAGAGGTGAGCTCAGCGGATTTTAGTCCAGCTTCAGCGCAAGAACACTCCATCAACTCTTAGGTCAAAAATAATAATTAAAAGATATAAAAGTTCAACAACATTTATCAATTTGGTTTTAAAGGATAACGTTTTATCATTTAATAGCCAGAAAAGCTGTCCCAGATTTTTATTTTTTTTTGTACAGAAATGTCTCCATTTACTTTACTGGAAAAGCCACAAAGGCTCATGAAAGTTCATTCTGGGGAGGAAGCCAGGAAATGATACGTGAAACACAGCATGACCCAGAATAATGAAACTTGATTTTGTGTCATGTTCAAAGACAAACCCCATGTGGTACAAAGTTATAATAAATTTATAATAAAGATACTTCAAGGAAATGAGCAAGTTTGGCCTGGAAGACAAAAAAAAAAGCAGTCTTATTAAAATTAGATGTGCACATTCATGTCAACTTTAAAGCATTTCTGCTGCAGTAAATTATAAAAACAGTTCAGCAATGCCAAGTAGCAATTTAAATGATAATTCATACTCAATCACATCATTATGAGTCATATCAAAATAAATACATAGGCATTATAGACCCAAAAATAACCTAGACACCTCAAAATATGAGTAACAGCAGAGATAATAAATATACTAATTTTTACTTTAAATAGGGGGGAAATTCTAAATCACAACAAACATTTCAAACTCACCAACATAACCAAGAAGCCACGTGTAAACAGAAGATACGAGACATAATGGCACATTTTCAGACAATTCACTAAACCTGGAAGAATAATGGAGTTGACTTATGAGTAGAGACAGTAGTAGTGAACCTCGCACCAGCTGGAAGAGATTTTTTTATCAGAATAAATATAGAATCTGCTCAAACTGCACAACATTAATTATGTTTATTTGCATGCAAGATCTTAAATGAACTAAATCTGTTATTCTTGCTGTTAGGAGGCCTACATATTTAATTCTGCTCAGGATGAATGAACTTCTGATTTCTGAGAGACATTTTCATCACATCCCGGTGCTTTCACGTTTCCAGAAAGTGGCAAATTGCTCCTTTGTCTGGTTTAAAGACATTTTAAATAATCAAGTCCCTAATGATGCTGATGCTTTTATATTAGTTCATAGATGAGTGAAACAGTTTTTGCTGTCGAAAGGATTTTGGAAAAATAATTTCCACATCTTAAATGATTCTAAAAGTCATGTGATCAATATTCCTAATAAATGCATTCAGTGTTTTCAAAAAGTTCTTAAAAATATTCTGAAACTTTCAAAGGTCACGTCAGAACACATTTCAACTGCTACATCACAGCTATCCACTAAAGCTCAGAGAACTAAGGAACGAGCCCTGTGGAACTCCAGGAAGAGTTTCAGTTTCTAGTTTACAACTAGTTACTGATTCAGATACAAGTTTCAGTTCCTTAAACCTTGAATGAACACTAGTATGACAGTTATGTCAGTGGTCATTAACCAAGATGCATCATTCTTCTTGAGTAGAGAAAACTACCAACACTTTACCAATAGCAGAATACTTATCTGACAAATCTTGCTTTTACTGCTCCATTTTTCATTTTACAGGCTGATTTTTTTGTAAGTCTTGCTTTCTTTCCTCACTCAGCTCTTCTTATCTGCTGTTTCTTCACTTCCTGCTTCAGTCATTTCCTTCTCAAATATACCTGGTGAAATCAGGAAGACCTCAATGGATGGAAGACTTTTTTAATGTTGAGATATGTGATGACATTTTATTACAGGAATTTCTGAGTAAGATTCACCAACATTAAGCAAATTTCAACTTTGTTTTTTTTTTAATCTCCTCTAAAACGGTGGCCTGAAACTCATCAGCCACTGAAATGTGAAGGATGCTGGTGATCTCGTTCCACTGCAAACCAAACAGAAACTTGAACCACAATCTGCCCTCGTGTGGGTTTGAACCTGAACCCAGTGGGTGAACGTGCAGACAAGTCAATCACTTCTCACCGATCCCACACTATTGGTGCACCTTTTTTGTCTTGACTTTAAACTTCACGCGGGTAGTCATTTCACGAGAGGTGTCAGCTAAAAACAAAACCGAGAACTGAGCTGAGACGACCGCAGAAGTTGTCAGGAAGACTGTCAGCTCCACCCATGTGCCGTCTCTCACACACGAAGGGCTGCAGCAGCACACCCTTCACATTTACACACACACACACACACCAGGGCCACTAGCAAGGCCTCTGGTGATTTTGCCCTTATTTGGTGACATCAACTTGAATTCAACAGGAAGAATCAGACCAGAAAATGAGACGTTTGACTTCACGTTTCTTTGCTGCTCTTTGACTCGTTGTCAAAGAAAGGGAAAATGCAGCACTGTCTCTAAATGTGCTCGCGGTGGATAACAGAGGAGAAAGGGAAGTCTGGGGGACACGTTCTGAGTTTGTGTTTCATAAGGCTGACAAAACTTCCTCTGTAAAGCAGATTGGAAAGCAACAGCAGAACCGAGAGGAGCTCAGCTTCCTAATAGTAACAGTTTAACATACACAGGTTTCGGGTCAAGCCAAGCAGCTCGGGTCGACGAGGGATCAGGGTGGCTCGGGCGGTCTCAACATCGGGTTGTTGCCCTGTCAGGGGTGGGAGAGGGGAGGGGAAGAGGCTGAGGGGCCAGATAAGGTCTATCAGGAGCACCAACACAGGCTTGGGAAAGCCTGTGTGAGTCTCCCTCTCACACAGAAAATTGGGATCAATTCCTGAATACGCCAGGCATGGAGGAACGAGTCCCAGGGCTCTGCAGGCCTTGGCTTTGGGGCCAGATGTGGATCTTCAACCCCTCTGAAATGGCTCAATAAGTCCAAGAGTGATGAAAGTTTAAATAGACATTTAGTCCTACATAAACCTGTGTTTTAAGGGTTTGAAATGTTGAGACCGGTTTAATTGCTGAGCTAATGTCGCTAACTTGTTCCCTTGCTATAAATTTAAATAGGTGTGTATTGTTCTGATCAACAAGTGAACTTTTATATAAAATTGTAATTAGTTCCTCTCTTTTGGCCCCATAAAGAAAGAAATCACAATGGCGTTAAATGTATACTTCATGTTTTGTGTCTGTTATTTAATATTGTAGAAAAGATACGTTTACCACAGAAGAAACGCTAGCAGAACGTTTAGTCTCCGCATCCACTCGTTATCTTCACTTTTGGCAAATTATTTTGTGTTTATTTATTCTTTCATTAAAAGTTGAGCAAATGTCACATTTGTTGTTGTCATGTTGTGTGGTAGATGCCTAACCCACGACATACAGAATCAGTCCACAGAGCCAAAGAAGATCGCAAACAATAATTTATTAGAAAAGGAGAACAGAAGGAGCTGCTAGGAAGTCTAGCAGTATTCGGCAGAGAAGCGAGGTTCGGGTGTGGAGAATCCTGGAGGAACAGGGAGAGTTAGGTCTGGCACTCGGAAATCTGAATGTTGGATCTGATGGAACTTACAGGTTGGAGGTGAGACCTCGTGAGAGAGGGAGGAGTGACCGGTCTGGGGAGGGCAGGAGGCTTACTGGAGGCTGATGAGCTTGGAGTCCAAATGAGGAGGGAGCTCAGCATGAAGGGTAATGGTGATCCAGGAGGGAGGGTGGGCAGCCTGGAGTGGGAAGACCAGAGGAGGACGCTGAGAGACGAGTGGACAGTGAAGAAACCAGGTTGGTAGCAGCAAACGAGGTGAACTGATAGGTGATATCCAAGTTGAGCTAATCATCCAGCGAAGTGAAGGCGTCTCTCAGGAGCTTAAATATCCCTGGCCAGCTAATCAGCAGATTACCTGCAGCCTCCCAACTTCCAGGCACGCCCACCTGCAGAGGAGAGATGAGACTCTACACCAATTAGTGTGTGAAAAAACCCCAGACCGTGACAGTATCCCCCCCTCAAGGGACGCCACCCGGCGTCCTGGCAGAGGAGGAGGAGGCGGAGGAGGAGGCAGACCGGGCAGCCTCAAAATCCCTAATGAGGGAGGGGTCGTCAATCCAGGACCCCGGGACCCATTGCCTGTGCTCGGGCCCATAGCCCTCCCATTCCACCAGATGCTGGAGACCTCGGCCACGACGCCTAATGTCCAGGAGGCGCCGGACCCGAAAACCGAGACCCCCATCAGCCAACCGAACCGGAGGAGGAGGAGCAGGAGGAGGGCAAAGGGGACTGGAGGAGACAGGCTTCAGGAGGGAAACATGAAAAACCGGATGTACCTTCATATGAGGGGGAAGCTCCAAACGGACAGACGAGGGATTGATGATTGAGGAGATGGTGAAGGGGCCGATGAACTTGGGGGACAATTTCTTGCAGTGGCCCTTCAATGCAATATCCCGGGTCGACAGCCAGACGCGCTGACCAGGCACATAGACTGGAGCCGGCCTCCGGTGACGGTCGGCTAAACGCCGGTTACGGTCAGCAGTCCTTTGCAGGGCCTTCTGCGTGGCTGACCAGGTACGTTTTGCACTCCTGAGGAACTGGGGAATGGAGACGACTGAGGAGGGAAACTCAGAAGGGAACAGGCCGGGCTGAAAACCAAGGGAGACCTCGAAAGGAGACAACCCGGTAGAAGAGGAGACATGTGAGTTATGGGCGTATTCGATCCAGGGTAGTTCTAAACTCCAGCGGGAGGGGTTGGAGGAACATAAACAATGGAGCATGGCACCTAGTTCCTGATTCATCCTCTCACACTGGCCATTAGATTGAGGATGAAATCCGGAGGTGAGGGCGACCTTGGCCCCGAGACAGGCGGCAAAATCCTTCCAGACTCGAGAAATGAACTGGGGACCTCGATCAGAGAGTATTTCGAACGGAATGCCATGTAACCTAAAAACGTGTTTCACCAAAAGTGCAGCTGATTCTGCAGCTGAAGGGAGGGCCTTTAAGGGGATGAGATGGCAAGCCTTAGAAAAACGGTCAACTACTGTCATGATTACTGAGAAGCCACGAGAATGAGGCAGGCCAGTTACAAAATCCATGGCGATGTGGGACCATGGTCTAGACGGAACGTGTAATGGGTTGAGTAAGCCAGAGGGTGATTGATTACTGGTCTTATTGCGGGCACAGTTCTGGCAGGCGGCAATGTACCCCTTAGTGTCCTTAAACATAGTTGGCCACCAAAATGTCCGTCTGATCAATGCTACCGTACGACTAACCCCAGGATGGACAGAAAACCTAGCTGTATGCCCCCAGTGGATTACCTTGCTTCTGACCGAAGGGGGAACAAATAATGTGTTTGGGGGTACCTTGCTTGGGCCCGGAGTGGTCTTGAGGGCCTCAAGTACTTGGTCTCGGACCTCCCAGGTTACGGACCCAATGACACAGTCAGGAGGGAGAATGGATGCTGGTTCTGGAATGGAGTCAGCCGAAAACTGTCGGGATAGGGCGTCCGGTTTGATGTTCTTAGTGCCTGGTCTGTAAGAGAGGACAAAATGGAACCGTGAAAAGAACAAGGACCACCTAGACTGTCTGGGATTCAACCTCTTTGCCTCCTTCAAATAGGCTAGGTTTTTGTGGTCTGTCCATATGATGATGGGGTGCTCAGCTCCCTCCAACCAGTGCCTCCACTCCTCCAGGGCGAGTTTCATGGCCAGGAGCTCCCGGTCCCCCACATCATAGTTTCTCTCGGCTGGGGAGAGGCGCTGGGAAAAAAAAGTACAGGGGTGGAGACGGTGGTCTGAGGGAGAAACCTGGGATAGGACGGCACCCACACCTGTATCCGATGCATCCACCTCGAGTGTGAATTGCCGAGAGGGATCTGGTCGGGTAAGAACCGGTGCTTGAGTAAACTTGTCTTTGAGGGCAGAGAAGGCACTCTCGGCTGTGGAATCCCAAACAAAAGGTCTCTTGATGGAGGTTAACTGAGTCAGCGGACTGGCAATCTGGCTGTAGCCCTTAATGAAACATCTGTAGAAATTTGCAAAACCCAGAAATCTTTGCAGCTCCTTACGTGTTGTGGGTGTTGGCCAGCTCTGTACCGCTTGGACCTTCTCAGGATCTGGTCCCAGTCTCCCACTCTCCAGAACAAAACCCAGGAACTTCACACTCGGGACATGGAATTCACACTTCTCCGCTTTCACGTAGAGGCGATTTTCCAAAAGGCGGTGGAGAACAGCACGGACATGTTTGGAATGCTCTTCAGGTGTCCTCGAAAAAAATCAAGATATCATCAAGATACACAGTAACAAACTTGTTCACAAAATCAGCCAAAACCGAGTTCACCAAAGACTGAAAAACAGCTGGGGCATTGGTGAGCCCAAACGGCATTACCAAATACTCGAAATGTCCCACTGGTGTCTTAAATGCCGTCTTCCATTCATCACCCTCCTTTATTCGGACGAGGTGGTATGCGTTCCTCAGGTCGAGTTTGGTGAAGATGGAGGCATCTTGTACAGGCTCAAAGGTTGACGATAACAAAGGTAATGGATATTTGTTTCTTACTGTTATCTGGTTGAGTCCTCGATAGTCGATACATGGTCGGAGAGTGCCATCCTTCTTTGTAACAAAGAAGAACCCCGCTCCCAGAGGGGATGTAGACGGTCGGATTATGCCAGCTGAGAGTGATTCTGAGATGTATTTTTTCATACACTCACGTTCTGGTCTTGAGATGTTGTAGAGACGGCTAGATGGAAGAGGAGCTCCAGGAAACAAGTCTATAGCACAATCAAAAGGCCTATGGGGGGGGTTGAAAATACCTGCAGTAGGTCGAAATATTCCTTGGGGACACCAGTGAGATCGGGAGGTGGTTGTTCAGGGGTTCTGCACTCAGAGCGGATTCGAGCTGTGCCCAGACAGGAAACGTGACATTGGTTGCTCCATTCCTCCACCCTGTTAGACACCCAGTTGATGCGGGGATTGTGGAGACTTAACCAGGGATGCCCCAAGACGATTTCTGACTGGTGACATAGAAAAACAAAAAAGGTCAGTGTTTCATGATGATTGCCAGAGATCGAGAGGTTAACCGGAACAGGTTTATGGGTTATAGAGGTTAGGAAGCTGCCATCTAAAGAAACAACCCTCGTTGGGGCCTCGAGTGGAATAGTGGTTATGCCGAGCCGATCAACTAGTAGTTGGTCTAATAGGTTCTGTTCACATCCAGAGTCAATCAGGGCTCGGGTGGATATTGAGGTTTTACTGAAGGTTAAAGAACAGTCTAAAGCACACAGAGACTTCATGAGTGCAGATGAACCGCCCACCAGTATCCTAGGTTCTACTGGTGGGCTCTGGAGTTTAAAGTCTTGGGACAGTCAGACACGAAATGGCCAGCTAGGCCACAGTACAAACAAAGACCAGATCTCATTCTTTTATCTCGTTCCTCCTGGCTTAGTCTAGCCCGGCCCAACTGCATGGGTTCGCTGGGGAGAGAGGATGGTGCTGGTTGGGCCGCCCTGGACTGAGTATGGGTCTGAAGATGAAAAAACGAATTGTTACCTTTATGACGGTCATTCAGTCTCCTCTCGATCCGGTTGCAGAGCATTATCAAGTCCTCCAGGTTTGTGGGTTCCTGGCAGAAAGCCAGCTGGTCTTGGAGGCACTCGTTTAAGGCTTGTGAAAACGCCCCTTTTAATGAATCCTCGTCGAGAGTGGAAGCCGATGCCAGGGTCCTAAACTCGATGGCGAAGTCAGCCACTGATTGCTTGCCTTGGCGGAGGTTCCAGAGCCGTTTTGCTAGCTCTGAGGCGGGCTCAGATTTGTCAAATGTCAAGTTAAACTCGGATAAAAACTCAGTAAATGGGCCCGCAAGGAAGTTCGGAGAGCGGCTCTTGGCTTCTGCCCACCTGAGGGCCTTGCCGCGCAGTAATCCGACAATGTAGGAAATCTTGGCTGCGTCGGTTGCAAAAGACTCCGGGGAGCGTTGGAAAGCCAAGTTACACTGGAGGAGGAAACCTCTACAAACGTTTCGATCCCCGTCGAACGTCTCGGGGGGAGGAGACAAGGCAACCCGGAAGTTGGGCGGGATGGATGGTGCCGAGGTAACGGGTCCGGGCGGACTCGGAGCAGGAGGAGCAGAGGGTTCCGGATTGGTGAGCTGTTCACTTAATTGTTTAACCATCGCACCCAACTGAAACAGAGTCTGGTTAGCGTCTGACAGTTGTTTGGTGAGGGAATGAAGGGCTAAACTGTGTTGTGATAAGGTTTCGGTGATAACAGGTGGAACTGATTCGGTACTGAGGTTAGGATTCTGGCTGGATGATTCTGTCATGTTGTGTGGTAGATGCCTAACCCACGACATACAGAATCAGTCCACAGAGTCAAAGAAGATCGCAAACAATAATTTATTAGAAAAGGAGAACAGAAGGAGCTGCTAGGAAGTCTAGCAGTATTCGGCAGAGAAGCGAGGTTCGGGTGTGGAGAATCCTGGAGGAACAGGGAGAGTTAGGTCTGGCACTCGGAAATCTGAATGTTGGATCTGATGGAACTTACAGGTTGGAGGTGAGACCTCGTGAGAGAGGGAGGAGTGACCGGTCTGGGGAGGGCAGGAGGCTTACTGGAGGCTGATGAGCTTGGAGTCCAAATGAGGAGGGAGCTGAGCATGAAGGGTAATGGTGATCCAGGAGGGAGGGTGGGCAGCCTGGAGTGGGAAGACCAGAGGAGGACGCTGAGAGACGAGTGGACAGTGAAGAAACCAGGTTGGTAGCAGCAAACGAGGTGAACTGATAGGTGATATCCAAGCTGAGTTAATTATCCAGCGAAGTGAAGGCGTCTCTCAGGAGCTTAAATATCCCTGGCCAGCTAATCAGCAGATTACCTGCAGCCTCCCAACTTCCAGGCACGCCCACCTGCAGAGGAGAGATGAGACTCTACACCAATTAGTGTGTGAAAAAACCCCAGACCGTGACAGTTGTGTAACAAAATAATTATTTATTTGGCTGAAGTAAAAATCCAGAAAGGCTAGTTGTTAGTTTAGCCTTAACTTAGGATAACATTATGTTAGTTTAGCCTTAACTTAGGATAACATTACAGTTGTTGAGGTTTTTGGAAGTGACAGACCTTTTAAATCTGATTAATTTTTAATAAACAAAGCTCAGTTAGATATTTTCTGTTTGGCTGAGGTTGTCGGTTATACATGATGGAGGAATTTGTGAGAAAAACCAAAACTGTGTCTCAACTTAGCATCCTTTTTAATTAAAACTGTGTTCTGATTATTTAAATTTCTTTTGAACTCATATTTATGATTTTTGACTTCTATATTTGATAAGTACTTTAAGATTTTTTCATAAGTATATAAAAGTTTGTAATTATAACTTCCTCTTTTCTGACTTTTGAAAGTGTAGTATTTTCAGATCTCTGTAGCAGGTTTCCGCTCCACCCAGGAGCTCAAACTGTTAGATCCTACATGAAGCTCCAGTTGACTTTAGCCTACCTTTTTTACTCAGGTAGGGGTTTTAAACGTAAACGAGAAGAAAGTGTTGGCAGGAGAACTGAAAACCTTGCAGAGGAAGTTCTGCGGAACTTCTGCAATAAAAGTTCAACAAACTGATTTATAAGCAACCAAATGAACAAATATTCTTGTCAATTAAAGATCATGAAGTATTTGAATTAAAAGTGACTGTACAAACGAACCCTGTTCTGCATGCTGGCTGTTCAAAAGAAAAGGAGGCCCACTCCTAGCTCTGCATCTACAGATGACCTAGATTAGACAGTCAACTGTCAGAGGAAGAGGAAGAAAGAAACGTCATGGTTTTAACAGAAGGCAGCTGCTATCTGGTTTGAAAAGTCATTAAAACCATCAATCCTCTGATTCAATAGGAGAAAAGTGATGAAGAAAATGTAATCTAGTAAAAGAAATGGATGTTGTTTCGTAGGTTTTTGTTATTTTGTCATTTAAATGTTTCACATCAGCAAAAATAAATAAAATAAAAAACTATGAGCAACAAAGATAACTAAATATCAGCCTCCACCACATCGGAGTGTTTCCCTAGCCTCTCTCTCTCTCTCTCTCTCTCTCTCTCTCTCTCTCTCTCTCTCTCTCTCTCTCTCTCTCTCTCTCTCTCTCTCATATTTATTTATGAAGCACCATTTCAAAATAGCATGGCAGCTGACCAAAGTGCTGCTTGATCAAGAAACACAATAAGAACAGGCAAAATACATAAGAACAAAGCATAAATAGTCGGAGATAAAAAATTCCTAGTAAAAAAAATAAAATAGGAGAACAGTTAACAGCACTATAAAAAATAAAATAATGCGACGAATGATAAAAACATTTGAAATGGCACAAACAAAACGAAATAAAATACCAGATGGTGCGAGGTGCCAAAAGTGTGCAACTGAATCATAAAAATGGAATTAAAACTCAAATCCGGTGCTAGATTTTCATGAAAAGTGTCACGGAGGGAAGGCAATACTAAAGAAGTGCGTTTTCAGGGCCGACTTGAAACTGCTAACAGAGGGAGCCAGACGCACACGGAGGGGCAGAGAGTTCCAGAGTTTTGGGGCTGCATAAGAGAAGGCACGCTCCCCCCATGATTTGTACCGAACCTTCGGAACAACAGGCAGCAGATGATCTGCTGACCGCAGGGCACGGGTGGGAACATACGGGGTCAGCAGGTCCGTCAGATAGGATGGGGATGGGCAGTACAAAGCCTTGTAAACATATAACAAGACCTTGAAATTAATCCTAAATTTGACTGGGAGCCAGTGTAAATCTGTGAGGATGGGTGTGATGTGCATGCGTCTGTCGGTGTTGGTTAAAAATCTGGCTGCGGCATTTTGAACCTTCTGCAGTTTGCTTAGGGCTGAAGCATTAATCCCAATCAGGACTGAATTTGCATAATCCAGATGTGAAGTAATGAAAGCATGAATGACTGACTCAAGATCCAGGCGTTTGAGGATTGACTAAGACGAGTGATGCGGCGGAGTTGGAAAAAGCAGGACTTGACAGTGGCGTTGACTTGTGAAGACACTGAAAGGTCTAGCATTGACTTGTGAAGACACTGAAAGGTCAGAGTCCAGTTTCACACCTAGGCTAGTGGCACATGATTTGAGATTGAGTGGGAGAGTTGAGACATCTAAAGCACCATTCATGTTAGTGGGGCTAAAAAGTATGGCATCTGATTTGCTGTCATTTAACCGCAGGCAGTTTTGAGAAAGCCAGGATCTGACCTGGGAGAGGCATTCTGACATTAGAGAAAATGAGTGCTGTTTGTTGATTTGAAGGTAGATCTGGCAATCATCTGCATAAAAGTGGTAGTTAACCCCGAGACTTGCTAAAATCTTACCAAGTGGTAGCATGTAAATTGAAAAGAGGAGAGGACCCGAATGGAGCCCTGTGGTACACCCCATGGAAGTGGGACATCGGGAGAAGAGCAGTCTCCAACATGAACACTAAAACACCGACCATTAGGGTATGACTTAAACCATTCGAGGGCAGTACCAGTCACACCCACCCAAAATTCCAGTCTGCGAAGTAGGATGGTGTGGTCTACAGTGTCGAATGCTGCAGTCAGGTCGAGTAACAGTAACAGCACATGGGAGCCAGAGTCACTTAGAATCAGGATGTCATTGAGTACCCTAATGTGTGCAGATTCTGAGCTGTAATTACATCTAAAACCTGATTGGAATGGGTCAAGAAGCCCATTGTCATCTAGGTGAGAAGTAAGCTGCGTGAGAGCCAGTTTCTCAATTACTTTTGAAATGAATGGAAGTTTTGAGATTGGGCGATAACTGGCACAGTCAGACTGGTCAAGGCCTGGTATCTTTAATAGCGGCTGAACAACTGCATTTTTAAAAGCAGCTGGAAACACACCAGAGGAGAAGCTGGACTTGACAATATCCAAAATAGCACAGGCCAAAAGTTTGGACACACCTTCTTATTCAATGTGTTTTCTTTCTCTTCATGACCATTGGTAGATTCTCACTGAAGGCATCAAAACTATGAATGAACACATGTGGAGTTATGTAATTAACCAAAAAAGGTGAAATAACTGAAAACATGTCTTATACTCTATTTTCTCCAAAATAGCCACCCTTTGCTCTAATTTCTGCTTTGCACACTTTTGATGAGCTTCAAGAGGAAGTCACCTGAAATGGTTTCCCAACAGTCTTGAAGGAGTTCCCAGAGGTGTGTAGCACTTGTTGGCCCCATTTGTAAATGGTCATGGTCATAAAATAAAGAAAACACATTGAATGGGAAGGTGTGTCTATTCACATATATAGGATGGCTTGCCAGGCTAGGGTTTCCCAGCATCAACGAGTAGTTTAAGGTCAAAGGTCAGAAGTTCTCCTACAGGATGTTCTGCTGGAGATCAACTTCATGGTTGAATCAGTTCTGCCTTGGAAATGTCCCATGGCGGCCTTTTTTGTCTCTTTCTTATTGCTGAATCATGACCTTTGACCGTAACTGTAACCAGCTGAGACCTGCAGGACTTTAGATGATGTTCTGGGTTCTTTTTTTTATTTCTTCAGAATAAGGTATGATTTGCTGCTTTTCGAGATCCTTAAGCCCATCTACTGAAATGATTTTGTGATTCTACAGGTCATATTACTCACACAGAACTGGTTGGTTTGGATCATTTTCCCTGTAAGAAATGAAACCCTCATTTGAAAACTACATCTCGTGTTTGCTCTGGTCATGTCTGATGCTGAAACTTGCTGATTTGAAACATTTAAGTGTAAAACAACGAGAATTTAGGTCACGTCTCTGGTCACAGTTAGAGGGACGCATTGGACTCCCCACTGGAGGTCTTCGGTAGGAAAAACAACAGTTGGAAATTTACATTTCTGGAGGAATTGAAACCCAGAGCCGTTCACTATTAAAATTCAGCAGCATACGGATGACAGTTAAAATATTAGAGCATGAAAACGAGCCCCTCTCTGGACGAGCGCATTCAGCCGCCCCCTCCGTAAGAGCAGCAACCTCCATCTTGGGTCTAACATGCCATAAAGTAAAAACCGTGGCTTTTGTCTGACTCCTCAGTTCCATTCATTTAAGATGAAATAATTACAGGCTAAGGACTAAAGTTCACATGAAAAAACCTAAAATGTTTCACGTATTCAAGTGAAGGCAGCATCTTCTAGTGAGGGAGTGCAGCGTTATCAGTTAGCATCTCCTCACAGGAAGTGATCTGCAACCCTAACTGCACCTCTGTTATCTGCTCTCTGCAAAATTCTCAAGTCATATCTCAGCACACTTTATGCTGACAACCACACACAGTTACCCTTTAGCTGTGATCTAAAACAGGAAAGTGACTTGTGTTGTAATATTTTCCTACTTCTTAAACGCTGCTATGCAATGAAGACATTAAAAATGGACATCATCATGTTTCTGCAGCAAAGAGACAAATCTAAATGGACACAAGTAAACTAGTCTAGTTTTTCATTTTAAGATGGTTAGGTTAGAGTTTGTAGATTTGTGTCATCGCTCAACTTTTTGCTAGCTTAAAAAAGAAAAAAGGTGTCTGCAGAAGGCAATGGGCGGCCGGAAGAGCAGAAATCGAGCGGCTGTGACTGTTAAACCCTCTTCCTGTGGTTGCGTCACGTGGCTCTGAAGGCTTCAAAAGGAGACAGCTTCTTCTTCTTCTTCCACTGCTTGGACAGACAGAAGACACCTGAGAGGGTTGGCGGACAATCAAACACAGAAAACTTTAAAATAATACAAGACAAGGCCGAGGTAAGGTATAAGGAGCTATCAATCTATTGATTGCTGGATTATTTAAGCAGAAATGTTTTATATGTGTCAGATTTGCTGTTTTTACAGTTTTCACTTCATTTCTCCTGAATTTCCTTTATTTTTTATTTTACTTTTGATCAAATTTGAGAAGTTAATGTGAATTTAGGAAGATGAATATGTAATAAGAAGTACATACTTTCCATTTTGACTTTAATACCATTTAACACTGCATATTCCATCCTGATTTCTGCCTTTGGCTCAGTTTCTGATCTGTTAAACGTCTGAAGGTGTTTTTAGACTTTTGGGTGAACGAAGAAGCTGAAACAAAAAAGCTTACTCATTCCTGACAAAATGGCCTCCTCAAGACAGCGCTTCCTCTCGCTTGTCTCCGATCTTCGCCTCGGAAACTGAACCCGAGCTGAAGGACAGGTGGGGCCTTTTTGCTGTGTGTTTTATCATTTTTTTATCACTTGTTTTATCTTCACCAGACCCAGTTTCTATATGAATCTGTAAAACTAGATATGCAAACGTGTCAAGAGAAATCAGGAAGTGCACGTTGAGCTGTGAGGTTTGAGTTCTGGTGAGTGTCGGGTGATGGTGCAGCTGCAGCTACAGCTGCAGAAGAATAAGAAGAGGAAGAGAAGACCGGAGGAGCGGTGGATGTACAGTGCAGTCATCCATAAAGTAGAAAGCACTACTAAACTCATCACCACAGTGTAGTGTTTCCTACTTTATGGATGAGTGTACTGTTGGCGTCAGGGAGAGCAGAGGCCCGCCATAGCGCCCACGCAGGAAGTCACAAAGAAACAGAAAAGAGGAAGTAGCTTTGTCTCAGAAGGCCACGCGTTACCCAGAGTGTTGCAGCAGACGGTTCACATGGGCAGCGTGTGGCGCTGAGCAGAGCTCGCTACTCTTTCTCCATCTCCTTACTCGTCTGTTTCACCTGTTCAGAATAAGAACAGAATCCAGTCTGTGCACTGGGAGTGACGTAAACACGAATAAAGACAAAAATAAAACCAGCAGCTTGTTTCACCTCCGGTTTCTCACCAGCAAAAAAGACACAAACACGTTCTATATTTTTTTCTGTGAAAATAAATGTACTTTATTCCAGTAAAAAGTTCCATTTTGAAAGAATTCACCACGATTTCAAGTCAAGAAGTCCTCTACATCAGTGGGTAACAGTCCTCCATCAACAACACTGCTCGGACATGCAAAACAATAAAATAAATAAAAACAAAATAAAAACCTGACAAAAAATATGTACAGATGAGATTCCAAAAAAGGTCATAAAAACAATTTATATTTAAATATTTATATATAAAAGCTTACGTGGGTTTCAGACAATGAATGCAGATAAGGAAAGAAACAAAAGTCCCACACACACACACACACACACACACACACACGGCAGCATGAATAAGGCAGAACATGGAAACATGCATGTGGTCGATAAGCATCCTGTAAACAAACACGTCTGAAACTCATCCAGGTCTTTAAGGCAGAACATGACGACCTGGGTTAGAACACCACACAGGATGAGGACTACTTGTGCATCGAAGGCCGGCGGACACAAACACTTGCTCTACCCAGGCCCCGTTTGTGAGAGTGAACAGAATAAAAATAAATAAACCAAACATACAGTGCTGCCATCCTGGCTGTTTCACACCTAAAGTGTCTGTTCCCTTTGATTCTTGGCTCCCTTTTATGCATCACTGACAACATTCACAACGATAAATAAATAAATACATCAGAGTCCAACTTCAATCATAAAATTCAACGAAAGACGAACAAAAACAAGGACACGACTCTGGCCTCTCACAGCTGTGGTAACGAGCAAAGCACCGACATTTTTGGCAGATTCTGCTGCTTTTGGAGAGACGGCGTGGACTGGCGGCTAAAAAACAACCAGAGGAGCGACTCGCTCTTCACATCCGCCTGCTAACGTTTATACACGAGAGTCAAAATCTCCTCTAAACAACACAAAATGAGTCTAATACTCTAATCATCTGGTGCCAACGTCAAACGATTCTGTTTAACAAACTATTGTCATGCTTTATGGTGCAAAAGAGAGAAGGACTAATCACTACACTGCATATGCTAAGAGATGTCTGCTGTACGCGGTTTCGCTTAAATATGAACGCACTGCAAGAAGAATGTCATTATTGTCCTCACACAGAGGAGAGAGAGAGGGAACATGAATAAATTATTGCAGTCTATCACAGTACAGTAAGTAAGTAAGTGCCACAAGCCTTCAGTGCAAATACTCAGATTAAATGCAGTTCCAGGAAGTGATGTTCCTGTTAGCTGATGAACATTTGAAGACGAGACAAACAAAATAAACATTCAACGAGTTTCATTCAGATCTAATTCTATCCTAACAGCTGACAGGCTGTTGACCAGAAGCCTCAGATGTTACCCTTATCCTTACAGAGCAGACACGATTTTAGAAATCTAAACATGAGGATTTAAGGTCAGCTCGACCAATTTTCATGTACATTCTCTTGCTTCAGCGTTCGAGATTTCCCGTTTTATATTTTTAGGAGTCGTTGCGGGGATCAAATTTGTAATCAAGTCTGAAAAATATCATTTTTGTGTTTTGTCTAACGTGACTTCACTACCAGGAGCTCCCATGTGCCCTTCATAGGCCGAGGGAGTCCCCCATTGACACTATGGTCCACGCAGCAACCACATCCTCCTCCTCGCTGGAATATGAGCTCATTTTCAAGATAATAAACGGAGGCCGTCTGGAAAACTCGGTGAAGCTGGGGCTCGATGATCAACCGATTCAAGTAACTCATCCTGGGCTGCATTTTTGAGACTCAAACATACATTTGAACCAACAAACAACAGCTATTCAAGAAACTTTGAGAACATCTCTCGCCAAAGTCAGAAACTTTCTAAAAAACAACGTCGAAGAGTTTTTGAACTGGCTGATGCCAAATCCAGCCCTCCTGATGAATAATTCACATTATCCAGGAACACTGACACCACCTTTTTGGGTTTTAGAAAGGAAATAAACTTCATGTGTATTCCCTATTCTTATCTGGTCAGGTGCTCTTCTGTTTGCCTGCTCAGCTTTCTCACACACACACGCGTGCACACACACACGCACACTTAGGCCGTAAAGAACAACAAATTCTCCAACAAAGGCATCAGTTTTGAGTTTAACCATACACTGTGGACACACACACACACACACACACACACACACACACACACACACACACACACACACACACACACACTTAAAACTTTTCTTGCCTTTTGCTCTCAAACCAACTCTAAAACATCACAAACTGTTGCATTGTGGGACTTTTAGCCCTCACACAGAAGCTGGGCCAACAGTATACATCAGCTTCCTGTTCTTGTAAAACGAATGCACCGTAAACGCCGCTCACCACAGGCCAGCCCCGGCGTTTGTCACTTCATGCAGTAAGTTATCCAACAGGACAAAAATCTAACACATAAAAAACTCTTATTGTACAAAATACTCCTAAAGACAAGACGTTTGCAGGAAAAGCAGGTATTTTCTAAATCCGCCCACTCAGGACGGAACAGCCTCTGATAAATAACGTGGCACAAATCGTTAAAGCTAATACTTAATAAGCGGTCTGCCGTCATCTGAAGATTATTGCTGTTTTAATTATCTGATGAAGTTTAGATTTGTTGGGCTGCTCTCTTCCACGTGCATGTCTACATGCTGTGGTGCTGGAAGCAGGTCGTTCATGTTCTGAAGGATTCTGTATTGAACTGCTGGTTTAGGAACTCTCGAAGACAACGGTATCGTTACTCAAGAGGATTCAGGTCTGATGGAAGATACCCAAACAGGAAGTCCTCAGGGCTCTCACTCTTTCTTGCTGGATCCCAGTTTCTTAAACAGCTTCTTGCCTTTGGAAAAAAAGCTTTTCTTCTTCTTTGCTTGCACAGAGGAGTCGGCTGGAGCGGGGCTGGCCTCTACCACCGATGGACCTGGAACGGGGCCCGGGCCTGACGCTGTGACTTCCAGCTGTGCTTGCAGGACTCCACGCTCAGTTTTATTGGGGTAAAGAGGCTCCGCTGGGGGGAGCGAAGCCTCTTCTAGAGTAGAGGGACCTGGATCTTGTGGCTCTGTTGAAGACCGAGTGTCCTAAAAAAGGAAAATGCAAGTTTTAGAACAGATCAGCTGTTTAGATTGTATACTTGTCTCCAGGAGACGCTAACGGGATTTCTTTAACAAACTAAGGCCCTGTCCACACGTAGCCGGGGATCTGCCAAAACGTAGATATTTTTCTATATTTTGGCCCATCATTCACACGAAAACTGATCGTTTTAAAAACTCCGGCCAAAGTGAAGATCTGCGTTTTCTCCGTTTTGGGTGTCTGCGTGTGGACAGACAAAACCGGAGTTTTAAGGTCCGCAACGTCACTTTCCGCGACAAAAAAATGCTGACATCACATGTGCGACCTGTGTTTACACTAGCCGACAGCATGGATGCCCTCAGAGCTGCGCTCGCTTTATCACTTGTCCAAGCGCTTTTTGCTTGTTTGTTTTTGCAAGCGGAATTACTGCTCCTTGCGGAAGACCACAGACGAAGGACGAGGTTAAGAACGGGGGAAGTACTGCCGCCTACAGGTCTGGCATGTCCTTAACAACGTATTTATCCGGGTACGTGTGGACAGAGTTTGTTTTTTAACGCGGTGGTGTGGATGCAAGTTTTTGGAGGGGCGGATATTCGTTTTAAAAAAAAAACGGCTACGTGTGGAATAGGCCTAAATCTGGGGCACCTTGAGGATCCTGAACCAGAACACAGCTAAGTGAAGATGGACAAGGATCTAAAACTAACGTTGACCACCCGAAACACTTACTATCAAGTCTCAAAGTGAACAGATCGTTTTTGCCTCTGCAAAGCACCATGCAGGAAACGGAAGAGATGCAACGCGTGGCAGTTAGAAAAAAACAAAACAGAGAAACAACACAGCAGCCATGCAGAAAAACGTTAACATCCAAAGAGACATTTAGATGGAAGCCATTTGTAAGAAAGATGAGAACAAATAAGCTGGTATGGAGAGTTAATAAAAGAGGTCAACTAACCAGTGATTCCTTCCTGGGTTCTGGTGCTGGCTGAGCGTAAACTGGTTCTGCTGGAGCGTTGTCTGGGACGGGCTGCAGGAAATTGGACGGCACTAAGCCTCGGTGTCCGTTCAAGTCTCCCTGAAAGACACAACAAGGCTCTGATTTATTTAAAGATGTTTTATATCAACCAATAGAACTTTGTCAGCTTCAGCTCTTTTAAGAGAACCTGGATTTTAAAGAAGAACTCAAAGCCAATCACAACTCACGTAGAAGAAACCGTCTTCGTCCATATCACCAAACACATGAATGATGTCTCCGGCGCTGAAAGTCAGCTCCGCCTCGACAGAGCAATAAAAATAAAGGTTAGTATCTGACATGTCTTTAGAAATAAAAGTAAACATGTAGGTCAGACCTCTATATCGGTGTTGGGGGAGCTCTCTCTTGGATCGTAATCAAAAATGGCGACCATCCTGTTCACTCCAGATGTAGGTTTTCCTGAAACAGTCTGGGTGGGATCTGGGGGACAAACGGAGCGTCTAAATATCAAACACGTTCCCAGAATCAGCGAAGACGTCTCTGAGCTCATCAGCATGCAGCTCTTGAGTTCTGAGCACCTAACGTCATGCTAAGCTGAGAGAGAGTCAAGGCAGTTGAATAAGGCAGACATCTAAATAAAACAAAAGATTAAAGGTTAGAGTTTGTGCTGTTATTTCCATGAAAGGAGGCTGGCAGCTGTTATGGATTTAGAACCAGCGAGAGCGAGAGAGAGAGAGAGAGAGAGCGAGAGCGAGCGAGAGCAAGTGAACGAACATGGAAGCAAAGAAAAATTATTAAATGACTCAACTTTTACTTCAACTAGGAAATAAAAACAAGTCAGGGAGAATGGTTGCTTGATATCAGTAATACAGGAGTCTGTTTTTCCTTTAGCATCACCCACCATTAATCACGTGTTTGATAGCATGCTAGCTACATATCTGACATGACAGATTTTAATAGGACTCTCAGAAAGGAACCATTAAATTAACCGGGTAACTTTTGGGAAAACCCCTTCCAAGATGGCCGCCACCGCTAATAGATCCCATTAGATCTTGTGTAACAACTGTAACTTCATCATTCCTCCACATAAGATGTTCACTGCCAAGCACTAGTTCATGCATATAAAAACAGGACTTCTTGATTTACTTCTTGAGTAAATTAAATAGTTTGTTATAAAAAAGGTTGAAGTCTTGAGTCAGAAAAGGGTAGAATGGCTTCTCCAGGTCAGGGACGAGGTCCTGCTCCAAGTGAAGGAGTTGAAGTATCTCTGGGTCTTGTTCACGACTGAGGGCAATATGGATCAGGAGATCGACAGGCGGATCGATGCTGCGTCTGCAGTGATGTGGGTGTTGTACCGGTCTGTCGTGGTGAAGAGAGAGCTGAGCCGGACATTCTTACCCTCACCTATGGTCACAAGCGTTGGGTTGTGACCAAAAGAACGAGATCACGGACACAAGCGGCCAAAAGTCACTTTCTCCACAGGGTGGCTGGGCTCTCCTTCAGAGGGGAGAAGCTCGGTCACCTGGGAGGGGCTTGGAGTAGATCTGCTGCTCCTGTACATCGAAAGGAGCCAGGTGGCTCGGGCATCTGGTTAGGATGCCTCCTTGACGCCTTTATTTCTATACCTAATTGTGCATTTTACTGTATTGTGTTCAGCACTTTGGGCATAATTAATGTAGAGAGGTGCTTTATAAATAGATGAAGATGATGATGATGATGGACACCTCCCTGGTGAGGTTTTCTGAGCACATCCAACCGGGAGGAGACCTAAAGGGAGACCCAGGACACGTTGGAGGGACTATGCCTCTCAGCTGGCCAGGGAACGCCTTGGAACCCCCCCCCAGAGGAGCTGGTCCAAGTGGCTGGGAACAGGGAAGTCTGGGCCTCTCTGCTTAGGCTGCTGCCCCCGTGGCCCGACCCCAGATGAGCGGAAGAGAATGGATGGATGGAGTTTTAATTTTAGCTGAATAAAAACTGATATCAGCAGGTCAAAGTCAGACAAAAACTGGAAATCGGTATTGGCTCTAAAAACAAAACCTGGTGCATACCTCTTCATGATTAGTGGGGGGTGAATTTCTTCCTTCAACATGTTTTTATCCGATGAGTTTCTACGATAGCTCAATGGTACCTTTTATTTGTGATACTCCTAAATAATCAAGCAATGCCTCAGACTCAAGGAGGAGGAAAACGTTTCCAACCGGAGTTGAAGAGAACAGAAATGAGCCATCTGATCATGCAGATGAAAACAAGCCAACCACAAACCTTGACTGGAGGAAACTATGCTCTCCTCCCAGAGTGCTGCAGACTCCACTGGAAAAGATGAGTTGAGGGGAAACAACATCAGCAACAGCAGAAAATCATACGAGAGCTCGTCTGAAAACACTGTGGTCTAGACAGGCCAGCTTCACACAGGCAGCAAGGCCTCTCGCGTCCTCCTCGTGAGGCTTTTAACTAAACAGTGACTTTGTTAAAGACTAAAAACTCGGCTGGTCTTACTTCCTGTGTAAAGCTGACCTTTATCAAACACGGTGCTGAGTTTAAAGTTACGGGTGAAGATTAGAGAGGACAAACGCCTAACTAGTGACCTGACACTCAGAATGCAGTTCATTTGTGACACAGGAGCAGGATGCTTATCGACTGATCAGCAGCATCCTGCTCCTGGTTCTGCTGAATGTCTTACATGCGTGTACGATGGCAGGCCTGAGTCGGTACATCCATTAAACTGTCGCAAAGAAGCTACAGAGATTATAATCTGAAGCAATCAACCCGTGGAAAGATCTGCTAAGATCTAAGAATGTAAATGTGACTCACGGCCTTAAAAGTAAAATGAATCTACTCAGAATGCTAATTTTTGTCAGCAGTGACTGGAAGCTGTGTGATGCTAGATTATCTGGCTTCAACATCCCCCCCGCAGTTGCCGAGTGACGAGCAGCAACCGAAAAAGATAAATCTAATGTGAAAGAGACAGAGAGAGGAGCAAACCAGAAAGCAGAAGAAAGGAGAGGTGAGAAGCCGCATTCTGCAGCGAGACACACCTTTCTTGGACCGTCTCGGTTTCAGCGGCGGGACAGGGCGACGAGGAAGCTGTGCATGTGTGCGAGTGCCTTAACGAAGTTTTAGAGGCCAAAAAAATAAAAACATCAAAGGAATGAAACAAAAAATAAATAAAAAACAACAAACAAACAAGAAACACAGGTGCAATTTTTAAAAGAAGCAGACAAGTTGACAATGAAGAGTGAGCTAAGAGCATTATGGAAAATGCTAAAACCAGTGAGCAGCAGACAGCAGTGAGGACAAGTGGAAGTGAAAAGGTTAAACCATCTGCGAGTACCGCTCTGGGTAGAAAGCAGGAAACAGAAGCAGAGTGTTAGCTTAATGCTGCAGGATGGCCTTTAACCCGTCACCACAGACAAACACACCTGCATGAAAACCTCAAATACAAACCATAACCATGGCTTTTCTTCATGCCAAACTATAAGGATTTAAAAAGTGTTGCTGTAGGTTAACTTTGACTTAATCTGATCCCGACGGTCACAAACGAGGAGCTTCACACCATAAAGAACAGTTTCGTTGTTCTGTTTGGGCTCCAACGCTCTCATGTGCTGCCACTTTCACTCACCGCTTCAAACATGAAAAGCGGTGACTTCATGGGTAAAGCATTACAGTTCACACATTAAATTGTGAAATATTTAACCTACAACAGAAGGCTGGCAAAGACTTGGATACGCTTCACTTCCACCTACCGATCTTGTCCATGGAGGCCGTGGTGGACAGGAAGCCCTGCTGCAGGAGCTGCTGCTGGGTCTCCTCGTCCTCCACTTGGATCTCAGACACCATGTTGCATGGCACGAAGCCCAGACGGCCACCGGACTCCCCTCGGTAGAACCCATCTGCATCCTTATCTCCGTAAACCTGGGAATAAGAAAGGGGGCTTTTATCTACTTAAAGGTGCAGTATGTAAGAATATAGTGAGAATTTTACAGAATGATAATTCCCCCCCAAAAGTCTAACGTTTCAGTCATTTTGGAAGGAAGGTTATACTGAAACGTATTTCATATCCAGCTGGCTGCAGGGATTGTCAGTTTCTTTAGGACAGGGGTGTCAAATATGCGGCCCGCGGGCCGGATCTGGCCCGCGAGATGGTTATGTAAACTTTATTTTCATACTTTACAATGTAGAGTAAAAATAAACGTATCTTTGTGAGCAAGTTTTCTCTGTAATGAGTATAAATAAAACAAAGCTGTGCTCAAGGCTCACACAAGAACTTGAATCACATCCTGAAGTTGGCTGCCACTCAGGATGTGACTTCTGATGTTGATGTGCTGGTGAAAGCTAAAAGCTGTAAAGTAAAATGAGTCAAATATACTTTAAGTGCTGCATGAATCTGATCTAGCCATGTGATCTGTAAGCTCTTTGAATCACTAAGGAATGTTTTTTTCATTTGTTGATTTTTTTTATTTTCTATTTTTTCAAATTTTCAAGTACACTTCAGGTGTTGTACTTGTACTACACTGTCCTCAGGCTCCAGCCTCGTTTTATATTGATTGTATTAAAACAAAGAAAACAATCTGAAGTTTTTTATTTTAATTTACCGGTCCGGCCCACTTGGGACTAGATTTCCCTCAATGTGGCCCCTGAGCTAAAATGAGTTTGACACCCCTGCTTTAGGAGCTTTATATGTTTTGAGGTATGCATTTATGTTTGAGACTCTTATTTTGAAAGAGTACATGAAGTTTTGGAGTTTGTGGACGTTGCTGCAGGAGTGGGACTAGACGAATGTTTAGAGACACAAACTATTTTGCAGAAAATAATCAATAAAACTAAAATATAAAGAAATGAAAAGTGTTTCGGCCGAGCAAGTCAAACCGGCATCAGCACATGGAAAAACAAGATCAAAAGGCAGATGTTTTAACCACTGGACCGCCATAGCTAGTATAAATTCAGGTTGATGAAAATAACTCACATTTAAGATAAATGACATCTTAGTGTAATATTTTATTATATTGTGCCTAAACACAATTTGGCTCCTTTAAAGTTTATTAAGTGATAATTCACCCAGAAATTTGGGGTTCTCCTCCTCAGGTTATTCCTGAAGCATTTGACTTTTCTCTCCACACATCCTCATTAATATCTCAAATGGTCAAATATAAAATTAAATGGCACAGCTTCCAACTGTTGTTACTGATAAAGTGGTGATAAAATAGTGATATATCGCGCAGTTCTAGAAAATGCGTCCAATTCAACTAGAACATACTTTGATAATCTGTCCTTCAGAAAAGGGCAGCTCCTCCTCAGCAGCATCAGGATTGGGCGACATTGTGACAGGATCATATGGAAAAAGGGCCACAAAGACGCGAACGCCACCGTCTCCTTTGGTCTTTGGTGATTCACCTAAAACACACACGCACGCACGCACGCGCACACACACACACACACACCCTTACATTAGACACAGCTAAGATTATGAGCAACAAGCTAAATCAGCTTTTCTGCAATACCTCATGTGAAATAACCAAAACATTTAATTTTAGATTATTTGCTGATAAAAGCCAGATTATACCAGCACAACAGAAAGAGTAGCTTAGTTTGCAGATAGCTTTGACTGGTTGCACCTCCCCCACCAGCTGCACTGCTGCCATGAGCAGAGTTGGCCCAGAACCTGTCCTTAAAAGAGGTAATCAAGCTAAACCACTGATCCTAAGCTGTGTGAGCAGTGTGACAAATGTGCACTAGTTCATGATCCGAGAAAGAGCGACCAAGAAAAAGGGTGTTTGTCTCAAACATTTAAATGAGAGGAAGATTATTTACAACATGGGTTCCATGTTGCATAAAGAAGCAAGTTTAAGAGCAGGTTATGTAAGTTCAGCAGAGGTGCGAGCGGAGCGTCGCTACAGGCTCTGTAGCTGACGCCTAAATGACAGCGAGAGACACATTTGAAGATCTGTAGTGAGGCTTTAAGCTGAACTCATCTTGTTAAGGAGAATCAATCCATCTGTGACAAGAGTCACGGGCAGACAACTCGCATGCTTTCACATCCTCACCGAGTTCAGAGCAAAAAGGACAGAACTTCTCTCTGCTCCCTTCCTCTATTTGCATGTTAACGGCGTGTGCTCTTGTGCGTGTGTGTCTGTGATCTTAAACCCAATAAGAAGAGGAGTGGGTGAAGGGAACGTGGAGAGAGGAAGAGAAGAATAGGAGCATGCATGCCGGTAATAGCGGCTGTTTCTTTGCTGGCTAATCGAGGTTACTATTTTAATGTCTGTCACTTCCTCCTGTCATGACAAGCCACTTTGGGTTAAGCCGGTTCTCAGCTTAGCGGGCTCTCCACTGCGGCTATAGCACCTCCTACTCTAGCACTGACCTCCCCCACCCCCCTCCTAGGTGCTAATCTGACAATCTTCATGTGAGAGCCGGGGGGAGGAGGCCTGCTGACAGAAACCACACGCTTCTCCCCAAACGAGGAGAAAGCCTCTGACCTTTAAACACTCGGGTCTGTGAGCAAGAAGCTTTACAGGAACGTTCCGGCTGAGCTCCCCTCGATGGGCCCGGCACAGCTGGAGGGACCTGGTTGGACTCCTTTTGGAAACACAGGAACATTATTAAAGTGTGTAACGATCAAACTAAACTGTTTGCTACTCAAAAGGTGGAAAAAGCACAGTGAAGGTGTTAAATGGTGGGATGGGGAGTGGGCGGGACTGGGGTAACACGTCCACTACAGCTGGCCTGAGGTCATGTTTACCATCGGTTCAGCTTTTGCTACTCGGCCGTGCGCAGTTCTGCAGTGTTCCACCTGAGCCCCCTCCTCCCACCACTCAGAGCTCATCTGCTCCACCACCACCTCCCCACCGCTGCACTCCACAGGCTCCTCGTTGTCAGTTCCATACTCCACATCGATCTCCATTCCTCTGCTGACGGGGGACTTCAAAGTTCTCACCGCGTTGCTGTCTGGGTATGTTCTCTGCGCAGTGAGGTCCTGGTTGGGGTTAGCACTTGCGGCGACAGCCATCTGACTCCTGAGCATGGCTTCCCTCCTAAGGCGGTCCCCAAGCCCTTTGAGCAGGGATCTTTCTTTACTGGTGGAAGTCAGCTTGGGAGGGGGGTGGGCTGAGACGCGTCTGCTGGAGGGACCCTCGTACAAACTGGTGTTCTGGTCTTCAGCGTAACTGACTGTGTCCACCGTGTCAGCATAGCGCACCCTGGGCTGCGGCTTCGGCTTGACCTGCAGGAGCTCGTGTCTGACATAGGGCTCTTTGGCTGGAGGTCTAGAGTGATGATGCTGAGAGGGGATGTGTGTGTGATGAGTGTGGTGCCGAGGAGCTCGATGAAGGGGAGCAGAATTTCTAGAGTGAAGGTGGCCAGGCCCAGGCCAAGGTTTGCCGTGGTGGAAGGAAGGATCCTCTAGGCTGCTGTCTTCATCCTCCGTTACCTCAGCGATGCTGAACAGCTGCTTGTTGTGGACAGCCTGAGGAGGCAACTTGAGTATCCTTTCATGAAGGTCCTCATCACTGTCTGGTGTCTCCAACTTGCACAACTTAAAGGCCAGCGTTCAGACCAAGCAAGAAGAGTAAGAATTGTTTTAAGATTCAGTGAAAAAAGAAAGATGTTCATTCATGCAGAAAGAAGAGAAAAGGAAAAAAGAATCACAATCAATCTAAAATGAGAACAAACAGAGCTGAAGCGGCAGAGCCCGTACAAATATACTCATGCACGAAGGCTGCTTGCATTTCTTTACCCTGCTGGCTCCAACTGTGTATCCTCTAGCCTGAGCTTCTCCGAGGTGGTCAGAGTAAAGGTCCTCCTCCTCCTCCTCTAGGATGTCGGACAGGTCTGAGCGGCTGTTGTCTGCGTGGTAGTCACTGGGAGGCTCCACCGGTCCTCTGGCATAACTCTGAGATGATACGACAGCACATCACCAACCTTGATACAGATCTACGCTATCATTATCTATATTTACTTCTATTTTAATTCAAAGGCGAACCGTTGAAGACATTAGCTCTAATCTGACAAGCTAACAGCTAATGCTATTTTTAAGACCTTTTAATTCCTGTAAATGTTAAAGAAACCGTGGAATTTCCCTAAAACCATTTCGGATGCAAATAACCACAATTCTGTATAAATAATCAATCAAAATAACTAAACAAAAGAAAATTAATCAAGTAAAATGATACAAAATAGTATTTTCACAAAATGCTTTGAATTATCGGAGTTGTTTTAGAACAGCAGAACCGGTCTAGACCCGTCTGAGTAGGAAGGAGCTCATTTGTGCAGTCAGAACTAATCTTTGTTTCTGTAACAGATATTAGTAGTTTAAACCATTTTCACAGAAACAATTCATTCTAGTTCATGTTCCCACCTCCCGTCACTTTTATTCCCAGGTTTAAACTATAGGGGGACTTTGCTAAATAGACTAAAACTCACTTCCTGTATTGTTGCTTTATAAATAAATGTGTGTATCGTCGACCCGACCCACTCAAACACCTAGACTCCAAAGGTCTTGATGCACGTGGCTGACCTGCTGCGTCCTACAGTAAGCCGGCTCCTGGTCCTGTCTCAAGAACTCCTCGATGGACACCAGGCGGGTGTTCTCCTGCTCCTCCTCCACCTCCGACTCCAGTGGTGAAGCGGGAGGTCGGAGGACGTTGGTGCTCTGGGGGTTAAGGAGGTCAGTGATCGGAGCTTTGGGCGGTGTCGGGATGCGCTCGGGGGTCTCAAGCTTGGCAACGGGGTCCTCGATGAACTCTGTGATGGATGGGAAAGGACGTATGGTCCCGGGGCTGTCGGTGTCTCTGCGCCGGTCCAATGCTGGCGCTGGTGCAGGTGGCGAAGCTGCTGTAGATAGCTGAGGTATCGTGTTGATGGAAGAGGCCACGTTTACCTGAAGATGAGAGAAACTTTGTTTTTCAGTAGAAGTTTTACAAATGCAGTCCTGGTGTGCAGTAATCTGGTACACCCTGGGTCTTTGTGAGGTGATAAAACACAAATCTAGCTGATTAATGAAAACTCCCAAAACAAAGGTATGATTCCACCTGGCATGGTGAGTTTGATCAATTTATAGTCAGTAAAAATGTGATTAGCAACAAAAGAATGAAATAAGAATCTGAGGTTTGACATTTAATCTGACAGGATTAAAACTGGGTTGTTTTATTCTAACATAGACAGATATGTGTGTACAATAATATTCATAGTTACATCACATCCTGAGCATTAACTGACTTTTGTTTTACCTCACATATTTGTCAGGATATTTAAGAAGTTTTTATCCAACGCTTCTTCTGTTTTCTTACATCCTACTACTTGAAAAAGTAACAAAATATAAATATCTGTTATATTTTTCCCGTCAGTGGTTTAAATACAGATATTTTATTTTAACTACTACTTTTACAGCTCGTTAGTTCGCCCTGAATGGAACCGCTGGAGAGAAAACCCATCCAAAGTTCATCAAATTTCAGGTTTAGATCATTTCTTTCACACAAATAAAGTAAAACAATTCTCTGATCTAAATGATTACATTAGTAAAGGCTTTTTTACAGGGATGGCAGCGTGTTTTACCAGTGGAGAGATGGAGGAGGCTGCCAGTAATGAGGGCTCACACACAGCCAAGGCAGCAGCAGATGATGGGTTAGCCCAGGCTTTCACGTAGGAGGCAGATGAGAGGAGATCTTCTGAGTGGAGCGCATGAGGCGTCTTGGCAGCTCCTCCTACTGCGAGGCCTGGCGTTGGTGTTTCTGATGGAAAAGCACTGGGCAGCACCGAGACTTTGGCAGCAGAGTTTATGTAGGACGGTGGCGGGGGCAAGTTACTGGGAACCATTAGGCTGCAGGGCAGGGGTGGCACAACTGGGGCAGATACAGCTGGGCCTGCCATGATAGCAGCCAACTTGGAGGGCACGTTTACGGGTAAAGAGTCACAAGACTCCCCGTGGGCAGACATGGTGCGGACAGAGAGCTCCTGAGCTGCCTGCAGGGACTGGATCTGGGAGGGGCCCAGCAGGGCACTTCCTGCTGTGGGAGACGCCACCTCCAGCACCTTAGATAGTAGAGCGACAACATTAAAACATCATCAGATGAACATATAGTGCAGATGTACTGACTGAATAAAAACGTCACTCCTTTAAAACACCCTTGCCTTTTTCTTGTCAGCATATATGGTGTACCCGACGACACGGACTCCGTTGGACGTTCCGGCTGCGTCGATGGTGACTGGCAGCCAGCTGATGAGAGCAATCCCAGCAGATGGACCAGGCTCCAGCTGCACATCCAGCGGAGCGTCAGGTGGGCCTGCAAGGATTCAAGTCATTAAGCTACATCAGCAGAAACAACACGTGTTCCTGACTAACACTGGACTGGGTGATCAGCTAGGCTTGTGGGTCTATGACGGAAGCTGCCAGCTACTCATCTAAAAGGACATTTGGAATCCTGATACCTGAGTTCCCAGTCTGTGGGCATGGAACTTAAGAACAGTTCAATTATTTAGAGAGAAATAACGATAAAACGTGTAGGATGAAAATGTCAAAAACAAACTGACGTCAAATATAATTCAAGATTAAAGCAACATACAAACTTTCAGGAACATTTTCATTCTTCGGTACAAACAACTGGTTTAATATCAGTAAAGGGAGTAGTCAGTCACGTAGCACCTTTCTATTTAACTTTAATAAAACTCATTCGGTCTAGAGAAACTAAACAGCAGCTGGGATGTGCAGCAGAAACAGCAGTTTACTATCCAAGACCAGCTCATTTTAGATGTTACTGTAGTATTTTGATGAGTTCAGAGACAACAGGTGGAACGCCGAACGGAACCAACAGCAGAACATAAAAGACTCTTTTTACAAACTGTTCCTATGAAGACAATTCTCTGGGCGGGGAACATCTTCAAGTAACCAAGGTATGCAGAACACCGTCTATGGATCAGAACATGGATCTTGAAGCAGATGGACCACAGCAGCAGAAAACCTCCTGTCAGCTAAGAACAGGCTAAAATTCACACAGGATCACCAGAACTGGACCAGAGGAGACTGGAAAACCCTCTCCTGGTCGGATGAGTCTGGATTTCAGCTGCAGCACTCAAATGCTTGGCTCAGGATTTTGTGTTACCAGCATGAAAGCACGGATCCATCCTGCCTTGTAGCAGCACTGCAGGCCGGTATTGACATAATGGTATGAGGGATGTTTTTGTCCCACTGTAGGCCCCTGAGAACCAGCTGAGTCTGGTTTAAAACCATAGTCTAGCTTCTTAAGAGGCAGCTAAAGCATGGCTGGTCTGTGATCAACACTGTACACTAGGGGTGTGTATTGGTGAAATTCTGGCGATACGATATGTATCACGATACATTGTGATACATTCAGCCAGACGATATTAGTGATTTTTTTTAGACTGAAATAATTGTATCTGAACCATAATAGAGGGGTTTAAATTTTAGTGGTGGAAACAAAACCCATTCCACACGTCTGCTAATTAGCGGTCGGCGTTTGAATTGCACCAAAAGAAAAGAAAATACACACATTTTTGCATGTAAATTCATCCAAAAATTCGATATATGGCTTATGAATACCGATATAATATTGCAGGAAAAAATATCCCGATATATTGCCATATCGATATTTTCTTACATCCCTACTGTACTTATTAACTTCCATTATACTTTTAAGCCTAACATTCTAGTGATGGTCCTATTCTGATTTTTTAAGTAGTTTAAGTATTTTTTAATGTAGTTCTTGCATTTTTTTTGTTTCAAGACTACAAATGGAAATTAGCGTCTTGCTAAATTTGGTGTATTTGGCTTTTTTTTTGTATGTTCAATAACATGTACTGTCCTGAATAAATCAAATTCTCTCTGTGTTCTGTCATCACAACATTATGACTCACAAAATGCTCCGCTCAAGTAACGGTTTCAGTCACTATCATCTAAACAAGGTGTGCACATCGAGGATACAGACAGATGGACGCTAAATGTTGTTTTAACAAAGACCAAGTACGGCAACTAAAAGCTAACTTTTGTTTTGATATTTTTTTAAAGCATCTGAACTTCTTTTCTTGCTTTCTAAACGGATTTTCCTTCTCATCCAAGAAGCTTTTTCAATCCTCAGTTCAAACTGAGAAAGCTTCATAAAAAAACTCCTAAAATCACAAAGTCCTGCATGACTGGGTCTAGAACCACATAACAGCTAAATATCTGTGACAACAGCAGTCGCGCGTGATCATGGGTAGATGTTACACCGATATCTCATGTAAAATTCAAAAAACATTCCAGATCCTGACCTGCCATCAGCGTGTTGAAGGTGATTATAGCACTTCTGTGCTCCCGCCGCTCCGCAGGCAACTCCCACGGTGTTCTGTGTGGCCGCGCCTCCACTTTGACAGTGTACTGCAGGCTGGGCGAGAGGTTATTTAGGCACAGTGAGTAGCAGCCAGCCTTCACCAGCTCACACTCTTCCTCGTTCAAAGACACAATGTGCACATAGTTGCTGTTGCTGGGCAGCCAGGTCAGGTTGGCAGAAGTGGCGGTGATTCCGTCCACGTGCAGCTGCGTGGGCGCCACGCTAACGTCCCGACCGACCAGCATGCTGCAGCGGAGCTGGTCCGAGAGGCCTTTCTCTGTCAGGCTCTGAACCGACACACGGTAGGCTTTGAGGTTTATGTCCAGCCGCTCCAGCACCGCTTTGGTCTGGGCACCAAAGGGCACGTTGATCCGCAGCTCCTGGTCCACGTACACATTATAGCTCCACACATTGCCCCACCCAGCCGGCACCAGCGGAGGGTCCCAGCCAATGATGATGCTCTTGGCAAGCTGCTTGATGAGAGTGAGTTTACGTGGGTAAGGCACAACATCCACTCCCACCTCCTCCAAGTCCAAGTCCAGGCCGTTGGTGAGGGGGGCTGGGACAGCCAAGGCTGATGCTGAATCTGACAGGGTCGAGGGGGGGCCAGAGGTGGCTGAGGCGCTGACTCCCACGTGGAGGTGATGCTGGTGGCTGGCACTGTGCAGGCTGCTGTCTAGCAGGGAGTTGTGGGATGCGTCTCCCGTCTCTGGATGGTGAGCGCCCATCACATCGTCGTCAGACACGCGCTCCACAAAGTTAGAGGGAACCAGCCCTCTCCGCCCGTCCATCAGCTCACCTTAAAGGAATCACAACGACATCTTTAACGCGACGTAAAGCTGCAGACACAGGTCATGAGCCCAGAGGTACCTTCATAGAAACCATCATCATCCATGTCTCCATAGACATAAATATACTCTCCAGCAGTGAGCGGCAGCTCCACCTCCGGATTGTCATTCGGACCGTCGTAAGGATTATAACTGTTGATGGATGTGTGACATCAAATTATCTTCATCACACATTAGCAAACCTGCGCTGTCATGAGTCAGAGTCCTACCTGTATCTGGCAATGAAAACGTGAAGCTTTGGTGCAGCTCGGGTGGCCATGTAAGGTGCTGGAGCCATGTCGATGTCCAACTCCTCCACCTCGCTGGCGGTGTCCACCTGAGAACAAAGAACGGGACTTTGAACAGCTCGTGTTCTTTTTTGAAACCAAGCAAACTGACACAAAGACACCCAACACATCTGCCTTTACCTCCACCCTCTCTGATCCCAAGTAATTAAAAAAGGGGCAGGATGCCATCTGTCATTTTGTTTATTTATCACAAATGTCACATAAATATGAGAAAAACACAAGAAGAAACTATGAATGTATACTATTTATACCAGTGTCTGGGAAAAACTTTTCAAAGGTAATCACCTACAGCTATTGCTGTATAACCTTTATAATCCAAAGTGCCGAGTGGATTATCTCACTAAATATTAGCTTTGTGTGTTGAGTGGCCAGATGAAAAGACCACCAGCGCTTCCGATCCGTAGCACCTGACTCTGTCCGCACGGAGCGGCGGAAGCCCAGGCAGCAAACCCTAAATATTTATCGTGAGTACAGGTGCAAAGGCAGCACTTGCATAATCAGCTGCGTTCTGTACTTGCATCACATGACAAGCAGGTTAAGGAGGGTTTTAATCCATTAAATCCACACAAACAATGTGACTGTGCATGGATGTCTTGGAAATCTTGGTAAGCTAACTGCGTGTCTGTCCAAACGAGGAAGAGGCACACAGTCGGGAATCCTGCACATTTAAAAACATCAAAACAAGCATTTCTATTACCCTCCAATCAGAGCTTTGAACTAACAATCTATTCAGTGTCGGCACGGTTTTTACATTTCACATCCAATGATTCCTGTTACAAGAAAAAATTTTCACGCTGGTATGTTCTTCTGTGCTTGACAAGTACACCAGAAAGTCCATTCTACTGAGTACGGGAGGACGAGGACAGCATTTGGAACGAACTATATTCCGCTGCATCATGGCAACAAGACGGTTAAAAAAAATAACCCGACATAAAAATAAAAGTCTAATTTGTTCCCAAAATATCAAAATAACAACAGAAAAGTATTACTTGTATAATATTTGGTCCACTTTTAATCTAAACTGATAAAATACCAGCATTTCCCACTGTTAAATGAACAAAAAAGATATTTTTCATCAAAACTGAACTATGCTGATTTTATTTTGGTTGCGGGTTAGCTAATTAGCATTTTGAGGGATCGTGAAGAGTAAATCCCAAACACACACAGCACATTTTACAGGTCACACACTTTTTTTTACAACAACTTACAACTTTCTATCTATCTATACTTTTAATATAAAACATTACAGTTATGAGCTCTCTCTCCTGACGTCAGGAGTATAGCGGTTTGCGATGCAATGCATTGTGGGATACTTGCTTTCTCAAGTCCACCGAAGAATGCTTTTATGCATCCTCGATGCAATGGGCGGAGCAAGAACACACCCGGGAACGTTGAGTGAACTTGACACGATACGTATTTGGAACAGTACGTGGGTCATCGTTGATGATGTTTCACAAGGACGTGAGTGAGCAAGTTCAGACAAGTACGCATGTTGAGAAACAGTCTTAAGTTACTGTTTTTGAGATCATGGCAGCTGTGAGTATTTTAATGAAAAGGACAGGTTTGACAGCTCAGCAGTAGTAAATAACAGGTACCTCGTGCGTTGGGCTTGATTTGTGTGGACTGAGGTGTGTGTCTGACTTGGGGGTGAGGTGAGCGCTGCTCTCCGACTTGGTGGAGGAAGACTTGCTGACGCTGATGGTGGGCAGCTCTCTGTGTTTGGTGACAGGCGAGCGCTCCACTCTGGAGAATCCTGCAGCATGGGGGGTGGAGCCTAGGCGCAGGGCAGCGGCCACATCTAGCAGGAAGAGGAAGAAGAAGAAGAGGTCAACAGGTGCCCTGGGTGGTGGCTGAGCCCTGCAGCGGGTTAACTGGGATGTCCAAGACCTGTCAGGGGGGTGGGACCACTAGCTGACATGCAGGAGGCTCAAGGTTGAACATGGCTGATTAAAATGGTGGAGAGAGGAAAAAAAGAATCCCGTCTCCATCTGTTTGAGGTCAGAGGTTACACTACCTTGTGCGGGTGTGTGTCACACCACAACCGTTAAGGGGCTTAACTGGTTCTCAGGCGTGTCGCACTTCATCCTGTGAGCTCCAAGTCTCATCATCATCCTCGTGATGAGAAGCACAGACTTGGTGTTTGACTCTTACAATGATAGTGGAGTGAGATGACAGGTCGGAACATGCCCAACACAAAGCACGAGTGACAGAGACAGAGAGCGGGCTGAGCCGATCATTACCCTCAGGGCAGGAGAGAGTGTCCCCCCCCTCGAGACTCCAGAAGGCTATCTCACCCAGGGACACCAAATCCAAAGTGCCACCAGCACAGTCTACAACACATGAGCGTAGGAGAAAGAAGGTGGGTACATCTGTGGGACACAGCCGGAGAGCAGCTCTGGACTCTTGTTACATCAAAGGCTGGGATTAATTTAAATGGGTGTTCTATAAATATCAGTATAGGGATAAAAAGAGAGATTACTGTGAGAGTATTATTGATATTTGAAAAATATAAACTGGTTTCCAAATAAGATAGATAGATAGATAGATAGATGATAGATAGATAGATAGATAGATAGATAGATAGATAGATAGATAGATAGATGATAGATGATAGATAGATAGATAGATAGATAGATAGATAGATAGATAGATAGATAGATAGATAGATAGATAGATAGATAGATGATAGATAGATAGATAGATAGATGATAGATGATAGATAGATAGATAGATAGATAGATAGATAGATAGATAGATAGATAGATAGATAGATAGATAGATAGATAGATGATAGATGATAGATAGATAGATAGATAGATAGATAGACAGATAGATGATAGATGATAGATGATAGATGATAGATAGATAGATAGATAGATAGATAGATAGATAGATAGATAGATAGATAGATAGATAGATAGATAGATAGATAGATAGATAGATGATAGATGATAGATAGATAGATAGATAGATAGATAGATAGATAGATGATAGATAGATAGATGATAGATGATAGATAGATAGATAGATAGATAGATAGATAGATAGATAGATAGATAGATAGATAGATAGATGATAGATGATAGATAGATAGATAGATAGATAGATAGATAGATAGATAGATAGATAGATAGATGATAGATAGATAGATAGATAGATGATAGATAATAGATAGATAGATAGATAGATAGATAGATAGATAGATAGATAGATAGATAGATAGATAGATAGATAGATAGATAGATAGATGATAGATGATAGATAGATAGATAGATAGATAGATAGATAGATAGATAGATAGATAGATAGATAGATAGATAGATAGATAGATAGATAGATAGATAGATGATAGATAGATAGATAGATAGATGATAGATGATAGATAGATAGATAGATAGATAGATAGATAGATAGATAGATAGATAGATAGATAGATAGATAGATAGATAGATGATAGATGATAGATAGATAGATAGATAGATAGATAGATAGATAGATAGATAGATAGATAGATAGATAGATAGATGATAGATAGATAGATGATAGATGATAGATAGATAGATAGATAGATAGATAGATAGATAGATAGATAGATAGATAGATAGATAGATAGATGATAGATGATAGATAGATAGATAGATAGATAGATAGATAGATAGATAGATAGATAGATAGATGATAGATAGATAGATAGATAGATGATAGATAATAGATAGATAGATAGATAGATAGATAGATAGATAGATAGATAGATAGATAGATAGATAGATAGATAGATAGATAGATAGATAGATGATAGATGATAGATAGATAGATAGATAGATAGATAGATAGATAGATAGATAGATGATAGATAGATAGATATAGACAGACAGATAAATATAGATTATTGCTATCGTACCCTTTGACAGCTTTCTGAAGGGTCTCTGTTCTGAGAAACAGAGTTTAGGTAATTTAACTAAGCTTTAAACGTAGATAATGATTAATATTCTGTCTATTGTTTACAAAAGGTGTTTCACCAGCAGCAGTAAAATGAGGTCAACTCCAGCAGGAATTTCCACCAAACAAAGACTGGAGTTGGATTTAAATAACGGCAACTTTGGCTGTATGTGGACTAGATGTCACTCAGAAAGCTATCTATGAGCAGGATATGAATTTTTAAACAGAAACACGCTTCAAAATGAAAAATAATTTTTTGCATTTGCCATGTATTCCAACGTTAGCAGGAGTTTTATTAGAAATAATTTCAGAACACAAGGAAATTGTAACTGAACAGATTAGTTTGATTTTGTTTCCTTAAAGTGTGTGTGCTCATTAATATTTTTGTTTGCAAAACAGTCCTTTTTTCACTTGTTTAATATTAAATGATGACATTTCTTAAGTTATAACAGTTCTATGGTCGATACAAAAACATGTTTATGAGGTCTTTTCACTAAATCCCTCTCACATGAAAAGATTTCAGCTGTTTTATTCTTACATTTCAGTACCTTCCAGAATGAGTCGTTTCAGAGCTGTGTCACTTTAAGAAAACCAGCTGGAAATGGCCACGCCCACCCTTCCCCTGCTCGGGCTGCTATAAGCTGAGAAGCTCCGATATTCGGGAGGAGCTGGGTAGAGCCTCTGCTCCTCTAGCATGGAGAGGTGGTTCTATTCTGATTTCCAACAAGGACTCGTTGAAACTGCTTGTTTTAGGAACAGATTCCTAAAACTAAACACTGGCAGAAAACAGATGAATGTGTTTTTTATGTTTGGAGTGCTTGTAGAGGCAGTAAAGAGCCACATGGCGGCATAAACAGATACAAAATGACAATTTTGCCAATGTCACCTATAGAGGATAAAACAAATAGAAGTTGTAGTAAGAAATCAATATTTTTCCTTTCTTTTTCCTTTTGTTTTACCTTTATTAGAACACGTGACCTTGTTGAGACACAGGGCCTGATCCTCACCTCGCTCTGTTGTCAGCCCCACCCCGTTGGCCAGAACAGACAGGCTGGGATTGTTGAGGAGGCTGGAGCTGGCCAGGTCCACTTTCGAAGCCTGAAGGCGAAACTTCTCCAACTCCTGGGACAACAAGCCGAACTGTTCGCTTTGGCTGCGGCATTTCTCCTCCAGGTCTCGTACCTTCGACTGCACGCAACACGCAGAACAATCAGGAAACATAATAGAAAAAAAAAGGCTGGAAAAAGTCCCTTTCCAAAACTACTGGAGAGAACTGATCCTGATGTGATAATGGGAAAGTGAAATTTTCCTTTTAATCAGTCATAATAAGGATAAACTGCAGCAAAATTAGGCACGTGTCCTGCGGAAACCTTTTCATGTCCCCAATTTTGATGATTAGAATTTGCTTTGTGAACCTTTAACTTCACTTTTAACACAATAGATAGACAATGCAGTAACCACACACTGCTTCATTAAAGTTGGTACAAGTTTCACACTGCAAACTACTCCAGAACCAGTGGGAAGAGGAGGGGTAAATAAGGACAAGCAGTGGGACGGTTTTGATGGAATAATATTTGTCAGACAACCTTTTACGGCTTGTGTGACGCTACGTGTGCTTCGTATCACACCCACTGAGACAAAGCAAGGTTGTTTGTCAGAACTCTGTATCAGGTAGGTGCACAGCTATACTTCAGTTTCTACATGTGGAGGATTTCACTTTCGGCTGTGGTGGGAGTTTTCTAGCAGGCTGGTTTGAACAAAGCATGAAACTGCCTGAAAAAATGTTTCCTGTTAGCTCTCACCTAACAAAACACCAAGCAGAAGGCGGTTCTCTATAACATTTACTGAATAATCTTTTAAACCTGGAATGAAGACGGTGAAAAACAGCGATCTGATGTGTTGTGTGCATGAAACAAGATCAACAAATGCGATGAATGTGGCGGGTGTTCTCAGCGCAGCTGGAAGAGTTAAGGGTGTCACAGATCTGCTTTCTGGCCTCGGGTCAATGGCCTGATATAAAAATACTTTGGTAACTAAACACTGTTTCACACTAAATACCGCACGGCGTGTAATTCCTACATGCAGTGTAACTCCATGTGCAAAAGTGGGATTAAATTAAAGCAGTGGGGGTTGGTTTTCTATCTCAGTGGGTCTGGGGAGGTTAGGTGTCTGGGGGTAGATTATTGACTCAAGGAGGACATGAAGTACCTGCATGCAATCCAGCATACTCTGGTTAGCAAGAACACAGCACACAGGACACACAGAGTTATAAAAAACAAACACATGCTAGCAGGAATTGCAACTTTGGTTTTTTAATACATTAGAAAAACAGAAGTCAGAGGCAGAATCACTAGAATGTCTCTTCAATTTCAATCAACTTTGGCCTGATCAGCTTTGGAAAACGTGTTTTTAAGTGTGATAAAGGCTGTTTGCTGACCAGACTCGGAGGAAAAGAGACTTTCTCCTGTGATGCTTTGAGTTTAAACGGAGACAGAAAGTGAGAGAAATGAAAAGGAAGGAAGTGAGCCGTTTTTAAAAAACACCAGCAGCTATACTCTACCAGCTCCCTCCGCAGCACAAGCTGAGTCAACTCCTAAAATAAAACACACACTTCTTAAGCACCAAACTCGGAAAACAAAGAAATAACAACACTCATAACTACAATGTTTAAGCAGGATGAGATTTTTGGAGGAATTTACGAAAGCGCTTTTTTGTCAAAATCATTAGCCAATCAGACAGAAGGGGAAGGGTAGGGGGCGTTCAACTGTCACCTGGATTTATTTTCTTACAAAGTGCAGAACAACAGAGACACCATCTGTTCAAACGGCTATACAGACACACCGCTGCTTCACACACACGAGCTTTCTGCTGCAGCGACCCCAGATGGGACTGTTATAACACTAAAGGTCTCAAATGACCTTTCTCAGTGTCCTAGTGGTAGAGTGTCCGCCCTGAGACTGGGAGATCAGGGTTCGATTCCTGGTCGAGTCATACCAAAGACTTTGAAAAAATGGGACCCAATGCCTCCCTGCTTGACACTCAGCATAAAGGGGTTGGATTGGGGGGTTAAACCACCACACAGTTCCCGAGCGCGGCTGTGTCTGCAACTCACCGCTCCCCCAGGGGATGGTCAAATGCGGAGAATAAATTTCGCACACACATCAGTGTGTGTGACAACTAATGGGACTTTTCACTTTAACTTTAAATAAAAAGTGAAGTAATAAAATGTCTTTTCCTCATACAGAACTGGGTGAAAATTCTTGCTATTGTTGTTTGGTAATGGAGATATCTCTCTTCTCTAATAGCAGCAGCCCGTACTGGTAGCATTTATTTAACCTTATAAATCAGCTTTAAAATGAGCAGAAACCTCAGGAATTCACAATATGATGATTTAAGTTCTGCATGGTGAAAAATAAGCATTTGTTTGTAGTTCTACTGTGAGGAGGAGTCATGATAGAGGAGCAAACTCACCTCCAGCATCTGAACCACGCCTTCGTGTTCCCTCTTGGCAAATAACTGAGCCTAGATTAAAAAACATAAAAAAAAATAATAAAAAAAACCTTTAGAACAATGGATCAAGCCGCGCTTCCACATCACTGGTGCCCTAAGGTTGCCTCCTGCTGGACAAACTGCCTTATTTGCCTTAATTAAACATCTAGATGATAAAAATAACTAAACCGTGCACACATAGTTGAAGAAGCTGTGTCCTACCCGCTGTAATCGTTTGATTTCATCCTGTTTGAACTTAAGGATAGCCAGTGCCTGCTCATGCTCCAGTTCCAGCTGCTGCCTTCGCTCGGCGACCTCTCGCATATGCTGTCCAGAAAAATAGGGACAAGATGTGAGCAGAGACGGTGTGGCTTACGTCGAGACATACTGGACTTGTGCTGTACCTTTAGGACCTGCTCTAGGTTCTCCAGTTTGGCACGGAGTTTCTGGTTCTCCTCGAGAACTGAGTTGTGTTGAGCGGTCACTTCAGAGAGATCTTCCCTCAGCTCCTCATTCTCTGCACGAGTCTGAGAGACGAATGGAGGTTTAAGGTCATCATGGGTCTCTAAAGGTAGAACAGCTGACTGCAGAAGCTGGCGGGGAGACGTTTACCTGGTCGAGCAGCTGTGCCTTCCTCCTGAGGAGTTCTACCTCCTCCTTTAGTTGCTCATTTTGGCTTTGCTCATCCTCAAGCTGGCTCTCCTGTTACAAACCAACAAACCCAGACTTCAGATTCCCTTCATTGGCTTTACTAAGACAGTTAGTAGAAAGTAAAATACGATGAAAGTGTGGCGTGATCGGTTGCTTACTAAATCCAGACATCTCTTCTGTCGCTTCTTGACTTCATGCTCATGGTTTTCACATTCTTTTCTCTTCTTGCTCAGCTCACGCTCCTGAACCATCAAACGGCAAAAAGTAACACTGAACCAAACCGACCATTTAAAACAAACTGTAATATGATGAGAAACTATTTTGTTTTCACTTTTCCCAAACAGAGTTGGTTTTCATTTCCATAATGACCTGTGACACACCACCGCTGAGGTATTATAAAGCTTAGCATCCTCTAATTATTCTAAATGCCGCTTACATGCACAAAAAGCACGGGAGAAATCAGCTTATTTCAGCGTGGTCACAGGCACAGGTGCGTTACCGTGGTGACAGGGTGGAGAGAAGCAGACGGGCTAATTTCTGACCACCAACAGCTGATTGGAGGAGATGCTGAACTCCCACCAGTGACAAACGAGCCAGACAATAAAGATAATTAAACCGTCATCTGTGGCGCGATTTCAGGAGATTCAGGTACACCTCTGAAGGTCAGAGTGTGTGTGACTAGGAATGATATAGAATAAAAAAATCAGGTCTTTCACATAAAGACTCTAACCAACCATGATGAGTGAGATGTTTCATGTGTCAGACTGACCCCTACTTCACACTGGAAGCAGAACGGTTTACTCGCAACTTTCGCTGTGTGCCAGTAAGCAACAGAAAAATGTCTGCCGCGCTACACACTGGACTCGCGAGATCACAAAATCCCTCGAGATTTCAAAGGTCACGGTTTGTTTATGCCATCCGCCATAAAGCCAAAAAATGGAAATCACGTTTGATATTGCTGTTTGATGTCATATATGATGTTGTTTCGCTCCACTGCCAGGATTAAAGCCATGAAAAACACACCGCTGCACTTCTGGAACGATGCTGGGACTAAATAAGCTGTTAGGTCACTTGTAATGATGTAATCTACATAGATATGAAATCGCATCACTGCAGTTGTCTTATTGGCACAGAAGGTGGATTCCATCAAGGTGCGAGTCGACGGATCAGCACGGACTGGGATAGATTAATTATGCCATTACTGGATCTAGAGGGGTTGAAGACCAACAGAACTCTTAAGGCAGAGAGGAAATAATTTCTGTCTGTCCTCAAAACAATTCTTATCTGAATCTGGTGCCCTTGGAGCCTGTGAGGCTGAAGTGTAAACTCCCCTCAGAAGAAATGTGGAATACTGCCGTTGCTATGGAAACTCTTTCTCCCTATCCCAGCCTGGGCGGGACTGTGACCGGTGAAGGCCGTGGAACCGTATCTAGGAGTCACTGTGCCCTCTAACCCATTATCTCCCTCCCATGTCCAAACGGAGGTGATGGGCGCTGCTCCATGCGGCTGCACGCACTGAAGTGAGGAGAGTCCCAACCCCACCTCCCCACCTAGTGGACGCTTATGTTGTGTAATGTTTGAAGTCTGTGTACATATCTGTCTGAGGTGTTTTTTTCCATAGCAAAGCTGCCCTCTCTGTTGAGGGTAACTCTGAAGTGCCTTTTTTCCCTCTCCCAACTCTATCCTCATATAAACCCTTTTGATCTATTACGGTAGGGCGACTCGGGTTGCAAATGACCACAGTCACCAACTCTTGTCATGTGTCTATGTATGTATGTCTGATCTCAGAATTGTGTGTACTGAAATGCTAATTTCCCTCTGGGATTAACAAAGTATTTTTGAATTGAATTGAATTTCAAAACTACTGAGGTTTTTACCTATGTACATGTCGATGGTTTTTACACTGAAATCGTGTGTGATTTTCTGTCTAGCCCTATGTTCAGGGGTGTCGCACCCGTATGGGATGTGGGGGATGCAACACCCACACTTTTCTTATTGAGATCATTCAACTGACACCCTGACTTTTCCAGCTGTTTTGCTCACCTCCACACCAGTCTGGTCTCTTTACGTCGCACTCACTCCGTTTGCCTCATCTCCTTCTTCCCCTCCCTCTTCTGACAGCCGATGTCGGGTTTCAAGGAGAGCAGGAGAGCAGGAGAGGGAGGGACGGTAGAGCTAGACTGAATTCATAATTTTACATCTTGACATTAGCTGTACAAAGTCTGAGTTTGATAATGTGAAGCACAATAATTTGCAGAGGTTTATAACAGGCGCGGCGCCAGGTTTTCATTTTTGGGTGGGCCACGGTAATTCTAGACGGACCTTAATAAGCAGTGACTTCAGTGAAGCAGGCAGGTCGTGCTAGAAAATTTAGTTTAAAAAGACGTCATAAATGTGTTCCCCCGTCATTTTTATTTCTAAAATATGAAGTAAAAACTCACAATTTAATTTTAATTCATTTGTCATTAATATTTAGTCTACAGCCGTGCGTTAAGTGGACCATCTTCCAGTAAAAGCAAAGCATCCAGCCCACCTCTCCAAATGCGTAAAATGTGCCGCTAGTTAGGAGCGCCGCCCGCTCCGTCAGCTACGTCAGCCCAGACAAGAGCAGAGCAACTAGAGAAAGAATAGAGGATAATTCTGTCTGGATGTGGATGGAGATTACATTTTACAGCAGCCTGATCATCATTTAAATACGTAAACCATCACCTGTCTTCTAGTCCACGCTATCAGCATTATTTTAATTGGTGTGTGTGTGTGTGTGTGTGTGTGTGTGTGTTTTCCACTTCAAACACTGGTCTAACCAACCAGACCAGCGTGTCCAGTAACATATTAATGTTACAATTAAACAGTTTCACTTCATGTAGGCTAGGAACGTTTCACCTGCCGTGGCCCGACCGCTTCTGCTCCACATGAACTTTGTGCGTGATCAAATGTCTCTACAGGTGCTTTCTGAGCTGAAGAGGCTATTCTGCCTCAGACTGGATGCGTCATGCGTCTCCATATTAGAGACGGGAACAAGCGCTGTTCAGCCAAAGTTTCGTAATTTCATAAAAAGAACATTTTTCCAAGTGACACATCCCTCAGAGAGACCGGGTTTCTTGTTCTTTCAAAACAGCCAGCATCCTTGAGTTTATCCGTCAAAATAAACTGTTGAATGGAAATATCTATAATCTGCCATTTAACTGTTTTACCTTCTTGTGAAGATTGTTGCAAAGAGAAACAATTAAACTTGATTAACCCCAGAGCCATGAGCACCGCTGACTGTAAATGAGGGGGAAACGATTTAATCGGATCCTTTTCTTTTCAACATGGTTTAATGTAAAGTTTCATTCAGTACAAACTTTAGTTGCACCAATCTAACGAGACAGAGTCTGGATTTGTATTCTGAACAGTTTAAACATGTTTAAAACGGAGACATGCGTGATGCATCTAAAATTCGCACCTGCTCCGCTATTATGGAAATTTAACTAACAAGATGAATAACATGAAATTATTTTGGGCACAGAAAACATCCCCCACACTTTTGAAAAGCTTGCAACGCGCCTGCCTATGTTAACTGAAGAAATTGTCATGTCCATAGTGGCTCATGGCAAAAATACAACCCGAACATTTCTGTAGCAGCACGGCGCTTCTGGGACGAGCCTGAAAATTTCCGCAACGCGGCTGGTTTGAATCACACCCATAGACTATAATGGATTCTATTTGAAGCAGTGACGTTCTGCTGCTGTTCCACGACGCTGATGCTTCCAGTGTGAATTAGGGGTCACACTGATGCCAAGAACCAGAAAAAACAAAACAGCTTTAATCCTTTGTTTACGTTAGACTGGATTGCAACGACTGCAACCAACAGCAAAGGTTCAGGGTCAACACCTGACTGGAACCTTTTCGTGTGGACTTTGCACGATTGTTCCATGTGTACAGACTACAGACTAAAAGCATGCATGTTACAATAAAGCAGCAATCCGGAGCTTTCCCCACTTCAGGAATTCTGTTTGATTTTTTTTCTAAAAGTTTGTAAAAGTCTCACCCTGCACTGTCACATGATGTAGGCATTTCTTTTGCTAAGCCTGCCCCGTAGAGCCCCTTGCAATTTAAATTGAATCCCGCTCAGCCACCAGTGTTAGACATCCGCTTACGTACAGATGTCAATCACAGAGCAGGCGCACAACATTGCGGACGTACCTAGACTGATGCAGATTTGGCAACACTTCTCATGGACTAGTACATCTTTATAATTTATACATGAATAAATAGCATAACATGAGAATAATAACAACAATACTTTTGATACCTGTTGTTGCTCCTCCTTGAACCGTCACCTTATCGTGGTGGAGTTTGAGTGCTGGCCGTAGAACTGTGAACCAGCTCTATACCCTTGCAAGGGTGATGGAGGGGGCATGGGAGTTTGCCCAACCAGTCCACATGTGTTTTGTGGATTTGGAGAAGGCTTATGACCGTGTCCCCAGGGGCGATCTGTGGGGGACGCTCCAGGAGTATGGGGTGGGTGGCTTTTTGTTAAGGGCCATTCAGTCCCTGTACCAGAGGAGCGTGAGTTTGGTCCGCATAGCCGGTAGGAAGTCGGACCTGTTCCCGGTGAAGGTTGGACTCCGCCAGGGCTGCCTTTTGTCACCAGTTCTGTTCATAAATTTTATGGACAGAATTTCTAGGCGCAGCCGTGGTGTGGAGTGTGTCGAGTGTGGTGGCAGGAGAATCTCGTCTCTGCTTTTTGCAGATGATGTGGTCCTCCTAGCTTCATCCAGCTCTGACCGTCAACTCTTGCTGGGTAGGTTCGCGGCCGAGTGTGAAGCGGCTGGGATGAGGATCAGCACCTCCAAATCTGAGACCATGGTTCTCGACCGGGAAAGGGTGGCTTGCCAACTACGGGTCGGGAGAGAGGTCCTACCTCAAGTGGAGAAGTTTAAGTATCTCGGGGTCTTGTTCACGAGTGAGGGTAGGAGGGATTGGGAGATCGACAGGCGGATTGGTTCGGCGTCTGCAGTGATGCTGAGCCGATCTGTCGTGGTGAAGAGGGAGCTGAGCCAGAAAGCCAGGCTCTCGATTTACCGGTCGATCTACGTCCCAATCCTCACCTATGGTCATGAGCTTTGGGTAATGACCGAAAGAACGAGGTCGCGAATACAAGCGGCCGAAATGAGTTTCCTCCGTAGGGTGGCCGGGCTCAGCCTTAGAGATAGGGTGAGGAGTTCGGACATTCAGGAGGGACTCAGAGTAGGACCGTTGCTCCTCTGGGTCGAAAGGAGTCAGTTGAGGTGGTTTGGGCATCTGGTCAGGATGCCTCCTGGACGCCTCCCTGGGGAGGTGTTGCAGGCATGTCCTGCCGGCAAGAGGCCCCCGGGTCGACCCAGGACACGTTGGAGCGGTTACATCTCCAATCTGGTCCGGGAACACCTTGGGGTCCTGCCGGAGGAGCTGGTGGAGGTGGCTGGGGCGAGGACGGTCTGGGGCTCCCTAGTTGGAATGCTGCCCCCACGACCCGGACCCGGATAAGCGGAGGAAGACAACGACGACGACCTGTTGTTCGGCTAGAGGTGTGGGTTCATGAATGCATAATCAGTGAGGAGAGGGGCTTAAGGTGCAATATAGTTTTTGCACTTCTGAAGTTTTTAATTGGTGATTTTAAATTGTCTTGAGATGTGAGAGTTCGTGGCTGCTAGTCTCTAAGATGGACTGAGGACCCGTGCAGGTTCTTCACCACCTCTCAGAACCTGCTTCCCACAACCCTGAGCAGGCAGAAACCAGCAGGTTTGCAGAATGGGCTAATGGGTTACAGGTGTTAGCTGCAGCACTCTTTGTGGTCTAGGAGCAAGGATTCACCCAGATAAAAGCTTGATAATTCGGAAATTTACCATGTTTGTGAACTCTTACATAATAATTTCTACAATCAAGCAATGTTTCACAAAATCTTTACTGTTTTCTCAACTGACAAACTTTGCTCTGCTTCAGTTTTGCAATAATTTCAGACAAAACAAACATACACAGTAGTGGCTGCTACTGTTGTTTATTATGTAGTTTTTCCTATTTTGCTTTCAGACAAAAAATGTCTGGAAAATGATAAAAACTCTGGTCAGTAAAAGGAATAATTTCTGATTGTGGCTAATGCAGGCTGTTCCTACCAGAAACAGTAGGCGCTGCTCCTCAGCAGATCCCTCCTGATGGGAGGGGATCGGGCTAAGGCCCGGTGGGGGCGTCACTTGTAGCCACGACTGCTCCTTTTCTGAACAAGTCTTCTCACACCCGGACGGACCTTCATCTAATCCCCCACACAGGGTCTCTCCTAAAACCTGAGAAAGACAGTAATTTAGTTGGAAAACATCCTGCTTTAATCCTGAAAACAGAGAAAATGGGTGAAGTGGTGTGAACATTAACATTTATATAACTCTAGAAAGATCAGCAGTAAACACCAATTCGCTGCCATCATTGCTATGTCCTCAAAAAGTACAGATTGCCAAGTTTTGGCAGTTTGTGCTTCTTACAGCTAATACTGGCACGTTTGAATAATTTTGCACCTGTACCCAACTTATTACCAACCAAACTGAAGACCATATCTGAGTTTCCAACGTTAATCTCTAGGTTTTAGTCTAACTTCCAATTACTGAAAACTCGTTCTACCTCCTGAGCTACTGCAATCCCAAAACTGTGCTAGTGCAGCCAGACCATAACCCAATAACAGGATCAGTTCGCTAATTCATGTGTAACCAACTCATTCATGTCAGCTGCTATTAAAAAAAGTTCATAAAATCTTTGTGTAAAGACTTGCAGGTTGTCTTTGGTAAACTTATAACAATTTTATTTATAATTAAAGGCCTATTGAGGCATTCCTGATGATGAGAAATGATTAAGTTAAAGCAGTTTTGGTCAAATCATGAAAACCCCACGAGCGTCACACAATATTATAAGATCTCATGTGATCTGTTAGCACTTGAATTTGTTGTGAACTAGTCTTAGCTAAACATTTAGCTCAATATCAGTCAAATTTATAATGATTTTTGTGTGTGCTTAGGTTGAGTGTCTTAAATGGACTGAATCGAAAAGTTAACCAGTTGTATTTAATTAAATCAGTCGTTTTTCAGATACTTTGTTAACAGAAATATTTAGACTCGCATAATAATTTTCTAACTACATTTATCAGTCAGGAAG